CCTTGTTTGTCCCCACCAAATGTGCAAGGCACCAACTTGTGTTCCCTAAAAGGCTGAGGCAATGGTCCTCTCCTCCTAATAAACACTGCTCCTTTGAGTAAGTTCTGAACTTGGGAGACAGACTAACCAATGTACTTGCTACTTTTAAATCTCCTGATATGACTTTTTTCTGATAGAAAAAATAAGTTCGTCACAGCTGAGAAACTAAATTATTTCCCCCAGCTTATGTAGTATTGAAGTATGGACCCAAATTTTTCTAGTAGCACTAAAGACTTAAAATTGGGTTGGGTTTTTTTCAATTTTGGAATTTTTTGGGGTTTTTTTTGTTTGGTTTTTTTTTTTTTGGTGGGGTTTTTTTGGTTTTTTGGCTTTTGTTTTGTTTTCTTTTTTTTGTTTGTTTAGTGGGTTTAGTTTTGGTAATTTTTGGTTTTGGTTTTTTTTTTTCTGTATTTATTGTATATTTCAAAGGAGATTTGTCAGAATAGTCAGATGCAAATATTTTGAGGTATTTCCTAAGCCAGTGTAACATTAACAGACATCCCTGAAAAAGGCTGATTCTGAAGCAGAATGAGTGAGCACCCAGTGCTGGATCTCAGCAATGTGATCTGAGGTAGGTCCAAAAACTGATCGGAGGTGAAAACACATCTATTCCTTCAAGCCTGTCCCACTTAAAGTCTCTCTTCTTCTTAGACTGAACTGAGGTGGGGGATAAAATCACTGTAATGGAGTCCCATATTATCAGCATGTTTCTAACCCAGCTCTGAGTCCCCCAGCAAGCACTGCTTGGTGTGGGTGGGCAGCAGGACCTCGGGCTGGCTGCTGGGCGTAACTGGGTGTGATCACCATGGGCAGCAGGACCTAGGGCTGGGCATAACTGGGTATTTCACTATGGGCAGTAGGACCTGGGGCTGGGTATAACTGGGTATTTCACCATGGGCAGTAGGACCTGGGGCTGGGTATAACTGGGTATTTCACCATGGGCAGTAGGACCTGGGGCTGGGTATAACTGGGTATTTCACCATGGGCAGTAGGACCTGGGGCTGGGTATAACTGGGTATTTCACCATGGGCAGTAGGACCTGGGGCTGGGTATAACTGGGTATTTCACCATGGGCAGCATCCCAGGGCTCTCATGCACAGCCAGCAGTGAGTGGGGCTGCAGGGACACCTGGTAGCCCCTGTCTGGTGCCCAGTCTGCCTTCCTGTGGCACAGCAGAGGTGTCCAGGCAGGAGGCAAAGTGAAACCATCTGGCCCAGGAGCTTTCTCTTCTTTAGTGCTTTTACATGCCAGGATGAGTTTGCCCGCTTGGCTGCAATAACTTGCAGGGATGGGAGGGAAATCCTGAGGTAAAGTAGTTGTGATAAGGGGCTGGTCTGAGCTGTGTGGGCCTTGGCACAACCCAAACCCCCTTTTGGTAGATATGCTGCTGCCTGAGGTAAAATTCACCTAGGATGACTGCCTGAGTTCCCAGAGGCTGCTGGGCTTCAGCAGCTTGCCAGCAACTCACTGACTTTTTGCCCTGTTCCAGAAGCTCTGTTCATCCAGCTAGGCTGAACCCAGCCTGAGCTGAATGCAGCTTCTTCAACTTGGATTTTCAGTCTACCACCAGCCAGGCAAGAGAACAGTGACAGGAGACAATTAACCTCTTCCTTCCTTCTCATAACACTTTCTACATGCTCACTGCTTTGGGAAGACACAAAAAAATAAGTAACATTTTCCCCCATACAGACCTTGGACACCTCCCAAAGTCTCAGTCTGCAAGATACTCAAGATCTATTTGTTACAAAGATCAGGTCCACATCTCTCTGCAGAGATACCTTGAACTAGGAATCTGACAAAAATGAGGGTTTAAATACATCATCAGGTGAGTTGCTATGCCAAGAATTAAAGATGTGATCAGAAAGAGTTTTATTAAATAGTAAAATGCATTTACAGAAGTCACTGGCTTCAAGGTCAGATGAAGCTGGACTGGTCACTTGTGTTCTGCTTCACTTTTAAGTGATTTCACTTAATTGGGCAATTGTTCCCTAGGCCCCTGTTGACACTCAGATTTCGGTCCTGAACCTTCTGCAGGAGAAAAGGTGGAACAGATTCTTCAGTGTTAAACTTTGCATAGTTTTAAATGAGCCAGATGAACCTATTTCTGCGTGGTACAACACTCTGGTAATTTCCATTATTTATGAACACATTTCCCCGAAAACTTTCTCTCCAGGGATAGGATGTGAAATGCCTATTTAAACAATAGAGAAAAGGGACTTTCTAAACAAAATAATGAAACTGGCAAGATACCAAGAACTCTACATTAACACAACCAAAAATACTTCTAAAGTGCTTTAAAGGTCATTTTTTCCGTTGTTATTACACAGGTGATGTATTTTTCAGACAAAAAAATGTGTTTTTCTTTTACAGCACTGAGCTCTTTTTATTGCAAAATATCATTTTCACATATGATTTTCAAAAATAGCATAGAGATATTTTCCCACTTTTTTTTTTTTTTTTTTTTTGTCTTTTGAAGTGACATAGTATGTTTGGCTTGTTTTGTAATGAGAAATGAAGATAAACTCATTAGATTTGAAAAAGGGGCAGAGTTCTCATGGGCTTTCTAAACCCAGACAGCTTCAACAGAAGGTATCTCCAGCCAGGCAAGAGCAGAAATGAAGCACTCACTGTTACAACCATCCTCCCTGGGTGACTTCAGGAAAGTGACTCTGAAAGTGCCTATTCAATGCTCATTAAAATTCCAGATCCAGTTTCATTCTCATTTATATTTGGGGAAATTAAATTAAATACAAAACATTAAAGCAATTTCTCCTTTGTAGAAAGGGTTCCATCCCCTACCACCCTTTTTCCTCGAAGAACAGGCTTGCCACATAACTCTATATTTACTGAAGAGTCCAAATATGACAGGGGAGCAATTTTGGTTCCAAAAGTAACCACTTTAATTTCCTCATTCATCAAAGATTTTTATGCACGTATTTACTCGTGTGAGCCTTACCATGGGCTTTTACAGGGGGAAAAAAGATCTTGCCCAGCAGAATACCCCTCGCTGTTAAAAGTTAAGATTTTTAACTGCTGAAGTCATTAGGATGACTCAGATGTTTTACATGCAGATCTATGCTTAATGATTTTGCTAATTGTGGGCCAAATTGCGTAAGTCTTTGCAGCATCGAGCCAATGTTACAGAAAGCATAAGTTAGTGAGGTTTTTGCCAGATAAGAGGTGGTATATTTTGTCATGATTACATGCAAGCAGCATTTATTCAGCTCATGCAACAAATGAGACAACAAGACCTGTTTGTGCTTTTTGTGCCAAAAATACATATATATTGTTGAATTTTGAACTTTGAAGTGGAAGGGTATAACAGCAAATGCATGTAATCAGTCTGCACATGCAATGCAGAAATGCTGTTTAACATGTGGAATAAAGAGCTCAGGATGTTCATCAAGATCTTCTATCAACTCGTGAACCTAAGATGAAAGGGATGTGGCAAGCATCAAGTTTTCTAGCTTGGATAACACATTCAGAAAACAAAATATGTTGTTGACCACAAACCCACAAAATAAGTTTTGACAACAGACCTTGCAAAGATTTGCCATGAGTTGCAAAAGGAGAAAATCTCAATTCTGTGCCTAATAGAAATATAATCTAACATTGTATACAAGTTTGTAGAGAAACGTTTAAACAAAAGATTCTGCAGGAGAAGAGAAATAAAAAGGTCAGCATTTATCTTTAAAATTAAAAACTAAATAAAAAACTAAAGTAAATGTTGTTCAGAACTCTCACTCTTGCTAGAAAGTGTTACAGAAAACACCACAGCAGACATAAATGGTGTTTTAAAGGAAGCACAGCAAGCCCTTATGAAATTGCATAGACATTAAAATAACGAGACAATCTATATAGACAGATGATTAGTTCAGAAATTGAAGTGCAAGAAGGGTAAAGTAACAATAACTTCTACCACTCCATATTGGAGAAGGAGATCCTTCCAACGCCTTTTGGCTAGAAAGGGAATGGCCAAATTCTGACCCCTGTGAATATGAGGGAGAACAACGACCCGTGGGGCTGTCCACTGGACCTCAGACTCTCTGCTGGAGTCAGAATCAGATTTTGGCAGTAAAACACGAATTTCTGATGACACAGCAACACCCAGCTTTCTTGGGCTTTTTAAAAGCTGTTTCAGAAAAAAAAAACCAAAAAAACAAAAAAACACCACCCAGAAAAAAAAGTAGAGTAGTCAGTAATTCATTAGAGGATGGCACAACATGAGTGGAAAAAAGAGCTAAGGCGTGAAACTTTATGAGCAGCGAGGTTTTTGCTGACAGTACAGGTAGAGATAGGTAAGGCAGAGCAGGCTGGTAGCGATAAGAGCCGCGCACAGCCCAAGGTGCGAGGCCATCGCCGAGCGGCTCCGGGAACAAGCCCCGGCAGCGAGGGCAGCACGGGCTGCTCCCGCACCCACAGGGACTCCGGGGCCGGGTGTCACCGCAGCCCATCACTGCAGAGCCGCTGCCGGGGGCTCCGGGCCGGGCCGGGGCAGCCTCCCCGTGCCCCGGCGCTCGGCACCGGCAGCGCAGCCCAGGCTGCTCCTGGCGGCAGGGCACACACACCGCGAGCCGCCAGTGACACGGGGGGACACGGGCCGGGGCGAGGCTGCAACGCGGCACCGGCACCGCCCGGTGCACCTCCCGCCCGCCCGGAGCCGCGCTCTGCAGCGGGCTGGGGCAGCTCCGTGCCCGGCCAGAGCAGCGCTGTCCCCGCCGTGCCGGCTGTGGGGAGCACCCTCACTCCACTCCGCTCCGCTGCGCTTCACTCGGCTCGGTTCGGCCCGGCCCGGCTCCGCCCGTCGGGGCCGCGCTGCTGACTCAGCCGCGGGGGGGCCCCCCCGAGGGCGCCCCGGCCCCGCGGGCGTGGCGGCCGGGGGGGGCTGCCCTCCCTCCGCCCTCCGGGAGATAAAGAGCGGCGGCCGCAGCCCGCCCGCGCCTCTCGGCGCCGCCGGCAGCATGACGGCCATCGGGGCGCAGGTATGTCCGCCGCTCTCCGCCGCGGGGCCGCTGCCCCAGCCCCAGCCCGGCCCTACACGCTGGGGTCGCTCCCTCCCTGCCCGGAGCAGCGGGGCGCAGCCGGCCCCGTTCCCTTTCCCGCCTTCTCCGGCCGGCGGCAGCTCCGCGGGGCCGCGGCTCCCCCTCCCCGCCGCACGTGGCTCTCCGAGGGGACTGGGGGCTCTTGGCTCCACTTTCCATCGCATTTCGGGTCACTCGGAGGGTTTCGGTGAGAAGGAGAAGTGCGCTGCCCAGGCGGCTCCGCGGGGGCTGCAGCCGATGATTCCCCCCCGCTCTCCCCTCCCACCCCCCCGGGGTAGCTGAGCCGTGAGACCCCGGGTGAGGAACGAGGTCCGGGCCGCTGCTGCTGCTGCCGGCCGGAGGAGGAGAGACCGGCTGGCTGCAGCTCAGGAGGGCAATGCTGGGAACTAGGAGCCTCCCCAGCCCGCTGCTGCCGCCTCCCCCGTCCCAGCCACCGGGCTCCATCCTCCCAGGGGCCGGTGGCTTCCTCCAGCCCTGCCACAGCAGGAGGCTGTGCCGCAAGACCTGGGGCAGGGACCTGGTTCAGCCAAGAGCTTTTATGATCCCGGTCCCAAGCCTTGACGTGGGAGCATTGTTTGTGCAGCCAGGGAACTGGGAGAGCTTCACCCACCCTTCCTTTCTCCTGTGCACAGCCTTCCCCTGCGAGGAGTTTGATGTGCACAAGTAAATATTTTCAAATACTGAATCCCACAGCTTTGTCCCGCTGGCTTCATTTCATCCCGAAGTAGCACTGTTAACTCTGTTACATTTTTTCCTCATGCTCTCCTTTCAGGTGCAGCAGCTGCTGGCACACCGGAGACCACAGAAATCCTTCTTCGAGACGCTCATCAGGAGCCTGATCATCCTGTGCGTGGCCATAGCCGTGGTCTTGTCGTCCATCTCCATCTGCGATGGCCGCTGGCTCTTTGCGAGGGGGCAGCTCTTCGGACTGTGGCACTTCTGCACCCTCGGCAACGACAGCGTCCTGAGGTGTGTCACGGACCTCAGGCTGGCCCAGGTGGAGGGGCTGAGCGTGGGGGTGATTCCCATCAGGAGCATGGTGTCCTTCGCTGTCGTGGTTGCCATATTTGGGTTGGAGCTGCTGATGGTGTCCCAAGTCTGCGATGATGCCAACGCAAGGCGGAAATGGGCAATGGGTTCTGTTCTCATCCTCGTCTCTTTTTTGCTGTCAGCCACCGGTGTTCTGAGCTTCTCCATCCTGGTGAAGGATCACCTCACCTTCACAGGCTTCACGCTGACATACTGGTGTGAGTTCATTGCTGCCTTCCTCTTCTTCCTTAACGGAATCAGCGGACTTCACATCAACAGCCTCACGCACCTCAGGAGTGGGGTAGGCAAAATCTAGGCACAAAGGATCTACCTCTGCCTTTGTGTAATCAGCTTTGCCAATTAGACTGGAAGAAAGAGAGTCTAATGAAGTTTGAAACGGATGCCCTGTCTTAATTTGTGTGCAAGGAGGGGAAGCGTGAGTCAGTCTTGGTGCCTGTAGAAGTTGTACCCACCCACTGGTCAGCGTGGAGAGCTGAGCAGCACCAGCCAAGCAGAGACTGGGACTGGCTGCTCCTGCAGTATGGTTTTCTGGAGAAGTGGATCAAAGCAGAGGGTGTCCTCCTAAACATGCAGAGATCTGGAAGACTGCAATCTATCCCACATGTTGACCTGAGGCTTGCACAACACTGGCACTGCTGTGGATTTGGTGTTGCTGTGCTTTTCCTCGTATTCTGGAGCCTGTGAAGAGTGTGATACAGCTTTGGTGTGTCTCATGGGTTTGTTTTGCCTCAGGGACAGATGATTTCTGCCTGGCCATGCTCACTGGTGTTGAGCACTGAAACTCTTCACTGGATCCTGCTTCTTCATTTTTCTTTCAAAAGAGAAGGCACACAGAACTTGATCTGGTCACAGGTTTTGTTTCCTTCAGGCACGTTCCCTTTATCTGCAGGCAGAGTTGCTGACCTGGGGCCGGGGTAGGTGCTGGGTGATGCAGGTGTAGAGGGAAGGGATGTGCTGCTCTTCTCAGGCAGCAGTGCATGTCCCTGTGTTTGTGGCCTCTCCCCAGTGTCACGACTCTCCTGCCACCCCTGAAGGACGTGTCAACTGGTCAACCAAACTGGCTGTCTCACAACCCTTGCACAGTTTATGGTAACAGGGCATTGCTGTTGGGTTTTTGGGGCAAGAGGGACAAGCTCTGCAGAGGTTTCATGTGCTGTTGTGGCTGGGCACACCATGCAGAGACCACCACAGCTACTGGGATGTGTTTTGGTTATCACGGTTTGCAGTGCTTATCCTGTAGCTGTCTCCTGTAGCATTTCTCGTGGGAGGAGAAAGCCCTAGATCCTCCTGGCCAGATCAGGTCCTTTTCTTCCTCTAACAGTGAGCCTGGGAGGAGAAGCAGCCGTGATTGCCTAAGGAGGGGCTGATGGGTGCAGCTCTAATCTGTCATCACTGGTAGAAACGTTGAGAGACCTGGCCAAAATTATTATACTAAGGCTGGCCTTCCTTCTGCCAATGTCTGAGTCAAGATCCCTAAAATTGCTACAGCTTTGAAGTTCTCCATGGTGTCTTATGTAAAAAGAGACCTCATTTGTAGAGAAGATTGCCCTACATGTGTTCTCCCTGTCCAACACACAGCACTCAGTTGCTCACAGTTAAAAATGTCTTCAGAGTATTTCAGGGTTTCTGGTTTACTGTTTGCTTTGTATCCACTGGTAAAGCTGCTCATATCCTTGTTTTAGAACAAATGTTTCTACATGTTTCATCCCTGTACCTTGTCTGTTGAGCAAGGCTTTACTTTCCTGTGCAACAAGTTTGACACAGTTTTTCACCTGAAACAAATGCATCACATCACAGAGGTCAAAAAGCCTGTGTACGTGAGCCGTGAGTAAACAGCTTTGTCTTTGAGAGCTAAGACTCTCAAGCTGTGCCTGAGCTGGAATGTATCACACTGATAAATGTGCTCCTGTGCTTGCTTTCAGGACAGTCTCCACTCCTCCTTGGACTTCTGTAACTTCTTAAGACAACATTCCTGAGCCCATTTTGCAATGCAGGTTCAGACTTGGCCTGCTCTGGCCAGTGCCAGTTGCACTTTTGCACATCAATCTGCCCATCTTTCTGTCAGCGTGATGCAGAGCTGTGCTACCCAGACAGCTCCGAAGCTCTTGTGATGTTTGGGGCTTTGATGGGGTTCCTTGGCCCATTCTCAAGGACAAGGACTTGTGCCTGTGTCTCTGGAAAACCTCACTGTGACTGTGTCTGTGCGTGAAGGCGCCTTTGATTTGCTGCATGGCACTGTTGAAGACATTCTGCTGGGCTGATCTTGCACCTGCCTGTGTGATCTGGTGCTGTTGGCTTCAGCAGAGCCGTTTAGGCCAAAGAGACCCTGCAAGTTCTGGTCCCAAGCTGTTGCACTTTGGTGTTCCCAGGTGTACCACAAGTACCTTAACTAATCAATGATTCAGCTGTGGTGCCCGGGGGTGCCCGTGTCAGGCAGGGCAGTTCCCCTGCATGTAAGGGTGTTTTTGGCTTGTCTAGAAACACGAGTGTAACTTCAGAGTGACGCTGTGGTGACATCCAGACTTGGAAATCACTTCTGAGTGTGCATTCCCTCATGCCAGCAGGAGGCTGTGCCTCCATCCCTTTCCTTGGAAGGCAGCCACAGCCAGACTGGGTTCCAGGCTGGTGCCTCCTGCTCGGGTTAGAGGGACACCGGACAATTGGCCATTGAGTTCACCCTAGACGTGGTGCAATTGTGAAGGATTTTTAGGATGCCCTCTGCCAGCTGAAGAAGAGGCCTTTTGTTGGGGGTAGGGAATCCTCTGGGGAAAACGGAGTAACTTTTTTTCCAACTTTTTTTTGTATAGTACTGCTCAATTATGCTGGGAAAAGATGCATTTTCACAGCTGAATATTATAAAACAGAGTTGATTGTATTGGAGATTCTTATATAGAGCAACCTGTGCAGCAGTGGGTCACTGTTCATTTTCTGAAACGTTTAGAAGTGTCAAGCAATATTCCTAAAGTTTGCTAAATAAATTGATTTGAAATAAGAGCTGTAATTCACTCTTTTTATCTTTCAGTATTGGGGTGCAGATTTAAGGGGATGAGGGAGGTTTAACATAATCTCCCAGGCACCATTCCGTGTGTTTACCCAGCTAAACTGATGAAGAAATGACTGCTTGGTGCTCTGCCAAGCTCTGACCGAGGGAACTGAGGCCACTGCACACTCCCCTCTCCTTTTCCCTCCAGTGTCTGCACCAGCCCCAGAAGCCAGCACTGCTTTCTTGTCTTGCAAAACAAGAAGGGCAGTCAGCTGTGTTTCTTCGTGGGAATTTGAGATAACCTTGTAGGCGCTTTAATGACTTCCTGCTGTTGCATGTGCTCTGTTTACCAGCTAAAGAGCTCTTTCCTGTGTCCTTCACCTTCCTGTTCCCACACTGCACCCCGTGTCTGAAGCATCCTTGCTCTTTTCCTCAGCTCTGATTGTTTGGCCTGCAAGGAGTGGTATCTGAGTACAAATGTATTTGTTTTTCTCAGAGCTCACCGCATTAGCAGGTTTGGTTCAGTGTCAGGAAAAGATCTTCCCAGTACACCACTGAATTAGTTTATGTAATCTCAAGTTAATTAGCACCTGGTGTTCAGGAGAGGTCGTTGGCCTGTCTCAGTTTAGCATCTCTTAAAAGCAGGGTAATGAACATCACTTCTTGTTAATGAGCCGTTTAGACTTAGCTACTAACTTTAATTGGACACTTGTACACAAGCCATTGCCTGTGGACAGGAATAAGGAAATGTTGATACAGGGCATGCCAGCTAGGGAAATTTCCTGCCTGGACTGTGTTTTTCCAGAATCGCAGAATGGTTGAGGTTGGAAGGGTGCACTGGAGGTCACCTAGTCCAGCCTCCCTGCTCCAGCAGGGTCCCCTAGAGCATGTTATTTTGATTTTAAGTCTCCAATACGTTCATCATCGGTGCTTGTAGGGACACCAGGAATGGGGTTGAGTCTTGCTTGTTTTGCAAGCCACAGGAAGGGGATTACAAAAATATATTACGTGACTGTCCCCACCTGCTTTCTCTTTCCCTCTGCTGGGGCCTATGGTAAGCTGATAATAGCCCTTCTTCTCAACCTTTTAGCACAGCTGGCACATGCAAGAAGGGCCTCATTTCTGGGTAAAACAAGGTCTGCCCCAGGCAGTGTCCTGGAAGGGGTGTTGCCCGAATTCCTGAGGCCTCTCACCTTCCCTGGACCCAACCCCACTGAATCGGTACCAACCCTTCTGAAACAGCCCATTTCAGCTCCCCTGGCATTGCACAATGTAATTATTCACTGAACAACTATTGGTTTTTGCTTCTGACAGTTTCGCTAGGAACTTCCGTGTTGTCAGTGATGGAAAGAAAATCCATTAATGACTTCCTCTTAAATTTATCAGCACTTGGGCTGCTGATGCTCCTGCTAGCTGGCAGAAGGACAACTGGCTCCTCGGGGCATCTGGGCTGAATAGCCAGAGGCTGTCACCAGTGTCCCTGAACAATGACAACTGCCTGTGTGAAAGGTGGTGCTCAGGCCCTGTTTACTGATAAAGCCACCCTATTACATTGAATGCCCAGGAGCAAGTGCAATGAAAGGAAAGTGGGTGGGCTCTGTGAATACGCAGTTTGTGTTCACCCTCTGTGCCTTCATCTGCTTTTGCATTGCTCCCTGGGATCTGCTTCCTGCTCCTCTTCATCTGCTTAGAAACATGTCAGTGTCCCCAGAGGGAAGCAGCTCTTCCCTCCAGCATCCCTCAGCACAGCTAAACAAGCAAGATCCCCAGCAGGGCAGGGAGCCTTTGTGGTGCCTGCCCAGGGGATGGGGGAGGAAGGAACCCATTCCCCTGGGGTGCTGGTTGGCAGCAGCTTTTCTTCCAGGACAGAAGTTTTCTTCCCAGCAGAAACCAGGACAAGGTCACAGCATCTCAACTCCAGGGGCTGCCTGCTCCTGGTATCTTCCAGAGCTGACGTGCTCTTCCCCAGGAGTTGAGGACTCCAAATTCCAGCTGACATCCAGGAGTTTTTATGGAGTTTTTTAGCTCTATATGCAAACAAAGCTTGTGCTTGATGCCTGAAGTGAACACGTTATACAGAATCTGGGAATAATTCATTTTTCTTGGTAATTTCAGGCAAGATTAATAAAACCAAAATGGCCATGTAAAACCAAAATGGCCATGTAAAACAATAATTTATGCTAGAACTGGGGGGTTTTAAATATAAAAACCAGCAGTATTTTTTTCTGGGGCATTCAGCATGCCCCTGTACAAATAGGTGTCATGCTCAGCCTGGCCTCCTCCCAATCTTGTGCTGGTCCTAACTATGCACTGCAGGGCTGAGCTCCTACACTGGCTCGTGTGAGAGCCAATAATTGCATCAGATCTAATTAATTACATGTTATTGTAACTCTGAATCTGCATTTCTTCATTTATGCTGGATGGAGGCACTTGCATTTAAAGCAAACAGCTGCTTTGGCTTGAAGGATGAATGTTTAATTCTCAGAGAGGGAACATACAAGTTGTTTCACCCTCCTTGGTCTCATTCTTTGGCCAGAGAGAAAATTTAAGGTTACATTTTTTCGGAAGTATCTGACTTGCTAAATGCACTGGGACAGAGTGAACCCCTGACAAGTTTGGAGGCTCTGCTTGGCTTGGTGAGTCAGCAAAAAGTGAGATCTTCAAATCCAACCTTCAGGGAGGGGCTTTCACTTCTCCTTTGGTCATGGGACTGATCCTGCTCCTGTTCTTCCTTCCACTTTGTTCTGGCTGATTTTTAAAGGACAAAGCCAACTTGAAACCTTGCTATTTCCAAAAATGTAAGTTTAAAGTAATTCCTTGCCAGCTTACAGCTTTACATCTCGTTGTTTTTTTTCCTGGTTGTAAAGAGGCTCAGCTCTGCTGCTGCTGGGCGACCTGCATGAGCCAAGAAAGCCAAGCAGGCAGGAGCGCCCAGCAAGCTCTCCCTGCTGCTGAGTGCCCTTCCTCCCCTGGCTGCCCACCTGCTGCACCACGGAGGCTGTGGGATAACTGTCAGCGCTGACAGTGAAAAAAGCACTTTTTCCCTGAATCTCAGAGTTTCAAAGAGAGCTAACATCACTCCAAAACCTGCTTCAGTGCAGATAATTTAAGCTTGAATGTATCCTTTGAACTTCTCTGCATGTTTGTCTTCTGATAAAATGGCAGAAGCCTGCCATGTAGGCATTTGGTGTGATTAAAAGCTCGTTGGAGCAGTTTTGGCAGAGGGGGTTGGGGAATGCTGCTCAGGCAGCATTTGACATGCCATGCATGTTTTGCCAATGTCTTGGAGGTGATCGGGAGGAGGGAGAAGTGATAAACACCATGTGCTTTCAGTTCAAGCATCTTTGCCCTTGAAGAAACCCAGCCAAAAATCACCCCAGCTAGGGAAATGTGGATACAGAATCAAGTAGGAGATTTGATTTCATTTGTCAGATGAATTATTTTATCCCTTTCCCACTCAAAACAAGGAAATCTGCTTAATTATGTCCTTAAGAGCATAAAGCTGTGATAGCTTAGATACTTTTTGACAGCTTATTACAGTGCACAGCCTTGCAGATTTCAGTGCACAGAGGGACTGTAGACTCTAAAGAGATTTTTGGTAGCCACTATGGTATGTTTTTTCACCAGATAGTTTCTACTGTCCAGTTCAATTGACCTTTAGATGTCTCAAGAGTTTTCATTTCTTCCCTTCCTATACAAGCTGGTCAAGTCTCAGAGGTACAGAAAGAGTAGGGATGAGCTATTTTACTGAAGTTTTTTGGTCACCCTTGGAATGTGTTGTAATAGCTTTGTTACCATTTCAAAATACAAATATCCAAACTGGACCACTGTTGTTCCCAAGGTCTCCACTGCTAAAAGAGGTAAAGGCACAAACCTGTTTGAGCCTACCACTGTCACTGGAGCAATGGATATGCAGTCAGAGAGGAAACTGGAGCTCAGCTGTGCCTTGTGTTCTCAGTGTCCATCATCCATTCATCCATCACCACAACAGAGAGGCTTTGAACCTTGATAAATGCTAGGGATTAATTAATTGTGCATTTCAAACCCATGGAAGCTGGCATGTAACCTTCATCATATAAAACTCAATGTCCTCCCAGCTTCTGCAGCAATAAAAATAAAGAACATCAAAAAAACACCAGCCTGACTTAGCCTGGAACATGCTGGAGAGCCACATGGAAAAATGGAAGGTCACATTTAAGGTAGAACTAGCAGCAGGTGTGGAAAGAAACACAAATTACTGTGGGCAGAAACTCAAGGAAGAGCATAATATTCTGGCCCATTTTGCTTTGCAGAATAACCACGGTGCTGCACAGGATATACACAGAGAGATGTGCTCCAAGAACCGCTGATCCACAGCCAAGTCCCGCTTTGGACATGGACACAGGGCTCCCAGCTCAGCCCATGTGTATCTGAGCGTGGGGGCACCCTCAGGTGCACAGAGTTACAGCACACTTGACCTTTGGAGGGTTCCTCTCCTGTGCTCTGCGGGGCTGGACCTCACCATCTGCATCTCCTGGGTCAAGCCGCTGCCTCCGTTACTCGCCGAGGTGCTGAGGTGCTGTCGCCAGTGCTTGCTTAAATGCCACTGCCTCCACTTCCTCTGAACTTCCAGCTGAACCTAGGTAGGAAGGCCACAAAATACTTAGCTCAGCTAGTTTATGTTGGAGCCCTGCAGTGCAGAGAGCAGCGTAACAGGAAAATGAGAGTGGGTTACCTTTGGCAAGGTTTGGGCTTAGTTATTTAAACCCCAGGGTTAAGGTAGGGCTGTTTCTTCAACTTCTAGTGATACTGTTGTTGCAGCCATACAACTTTCTATTTAATTGCAGGTGAAACTGTTCACAGAATCTAGCTGGCCTTAGGAAGGGTTTGGTTTAGATTTTTCCAGAATTTTAATTTTAGATATAAAATCAGGACATTTTGGCACTCTAAAGTAAAAAAAAAATCACGTAGATTTCTTTTCAAAACCACTTTTTTCTGAACCCTGTTGACAGATCAGTCAGAGTATTTCAAAACCCTCCTTTATTTCAAAGTGACTTTTTCTTAGGCACTGGCTTGCTTTTTTTTTTTTCCCTTCCAATTAGCTCTACATCTTCCAGGTTTGTATGTTTGTATGTTTCCCCCCACCTCTACCAGCAGCAGCATTTCAGAGTGCAAGTTCTAGCCCAGAAGCCTGGGAGTTGTCATGCAACTGCAATGGAAACAATCCCTCTACCAAAAGCTTTACCTTATAAAAATCCTAATAAACTTGGGCTGGGCATAGCTTTTGATAAATTCCCTCCTAAGGACTGAGTAAATAAAGCAGCCATGGATGGGGTGGCAGATAATGGTGTCATACGTCAGAACCATAGGCTGTCAGTGTGACTGTGTGAGGGATGGGGCTCCCACCCTCAGTTCCCAGACACTAATAATGTTATCTGATTTATGAAAGGGTTGCAGTAGTTGAGGGGTGAAGTTTGCATCTGGCATACAATTACCGAGGCTTGCCTGGTCTAGGAGGAATTTCAAGAGTGATGTTAGGTAGCTGGGAAGAAAACCCTCAGACAAAACGTGTAATTCATTGGGGGATGTATCCCATTGATTAACGAGGCGTGCTTCAGCAATAAAAAAGAATGTTATACACATGAAACTCACCTCACCATTAAGAAAACAATAAAGTACAGCCACAACAAAGCCCTAAAAGATAAAAGAACCGTGGTCACAGATTGCAGTTTCAGCTTTTGAATGGGGATGAGGCATCTCAAGGGAAATCAGACAGCTTGGCTTTGCCATTGGAAACCCAAGTCTGCTGCACAGTTATATGTTCTACCTCTTTTTCTTATTTTAAAGAAATAATAACTTGTCAAATATTACCTGGAATGATCCAAGAGCCAATTCAAAAAACAGCTGAATTTCCATTGTGCCGCTGCTTGCATCCTCAGGGAAAAAAGCAAAGATGATATAGTGAACCCCAAAGAGGGGGATGAGGAGGAGTGTTGACTTTGCAAGTCTCCTGAGAATGAAAACAGAGGGAAAAGCTGGTGTAGAAGGAGCAAGAAATGCTCAGGTGGCCTTGAATGTCTTATAAGGGATGTAAGGCACATACTTGTATTGGTTGAAATCACTGCTCCGTTTTTCAGGGGAGCTGAGCTTCCTCATCAGGATTCTTAAAATGTTGACAAAGATGATGAAATTAATCTGAAAAAAAGGAAAAAAAACCAAAAAAACCCAAAACCAAAGTAAGAATACAAAAGCAACCCATCAAACAACAAACCCATTATCCACTTAAACTGGCAGGTATCAGCAGAGCCACTTTGGGGAGCTTAGATCGAGCAGAAAGAATAGAGGGGTTGGGTCTGGCCTGCCTCAGTCCATTTTCCCATCCCAGCCTCTGTTCCTGCTTCTCCAGCCTGCTTGGCCACCCTGGGCTTGGATGCTGGCTGCTTTCCCTGCTGGTTTGCTGCAGCTTTAGTTATGGAGATGGTCAGGGCTTGTTATCCAGGCAAATCACCAAAGGGCAGTGAAACCAGGAGCATGGGTTTGGTCCCCTCTGGCTGTGGTGTTCTGACAGCCTCTGCACAGTCTGGCCCCACTTGGATGCCAGCAAAGGGGCAGCACTGGAGCTGTCACTATCACTTGCTAACTGGGACTACGAGTGCTCTTTGTTCCCTGCTAAAAACACTCCCTGTGGTTTGGGATCACGAGACAGAGTAGTTCAAAGTGGGGAGAGGAGAGAGTCGACACTGGAGCTCTTCCTTTTGCATTTTCCCCCTCTCGAAGGGTGGATATCAGATAAAAATGCTGATCTGCTCAGTTTGGGTGCAGATGAGGCAATAGCTGTTGCTGCTCGTTGGACCCTCAGGCAAAGAGTGGGAGTTGCAGGGGAGGTAGAGCCGCCTGAGCGTGTCTGTCTGTCTGTCTGTCCCATAGGGAGGGACCTGGGGTTGATCTGATCTGCCCTTGGCTTGCACAGCCTGCAGAGCTGTAGCCCTTCTGCAGCACCCTGTAGAGCTGTAGCCCTTCTGCAGCACCCTGTAGAGCTGTAGCCCTTCTGGAGCACCCTGCTCTGTGGCTGGCCCTTAACCCTTCCCTGGGCCGGGGGACATCATTGCAGAGGTGCATCCTCCTCATGGTGGGTGCAGCGTGCTGGGGGCATGGCAGAAGCGCTCGGGGGCGTGGGTCTCCCTAAAAAACCGGGTCTGCTGGAGATGGGACAGATACAGAAAGTCCCTGAGCTCTTTAAAGTTACCGGATGGAAAGGGAGCAGCTGTGGCCGCTGAGGGAGTCTGGAGAGGGATGGAAGTTTGGGGAAGCTGGGGAGGGAGGAGGAAAGCAGAGCTGGGGGGAGCTAGAGGTGGGGAGCATGAAGGAAGGAAATACTTCAGCGGTGGTGGGGAGCAAAGGAGGTTCAGGTCAGGGTATGCTGGGATTTTTAATGCATTAGGCCAGGGAAGAGCTGTTGGTTGAGCAGGGCTGTTCACTGATAAAACCACAGGGGAAGGGGGAGCGTTGGGATTCCTGCCGGGAGGAATTGCCCGCGGGCAGCGCAGGAATGAGCGAGAGCCTGGGAGCACAAAGGTGTTTATCGGTGCTGGTTTTCTGCCCTTTCAACTGCTGAAGGCTGTGAGGAATACAGAGATTAGATCTGGGTTTTTGAGATCTGGCTGTTTGTTTGGTTATGGGCTTGAGTAAAGCCTCCTTTGAGGAAAACCTGCAGAGTCATGCAGGCAGCTTCTGCCCTCGGTAGCTAAACAAGGCAGGATCAGCATCCTGAGGACACTTGGGAGGCGATAGCGGGTGGGGGCTGCCAAAAGATAAACTAAGATTGTGCTTTTTGTCTTGCCTGGGTCTCCTTGGCTTTTATACATAACTCAGTGGCTCCTAGCATGGGGGTTGTTTCATAAAGAAAAATAAATGCCATGACCCCAAATCACTTGTGCGGTCTGCTGCTTGTCTTGTGGGGATGCAGGGCTGCTCACTGGTCAATAGGAGCAGAACTTTAACCCACCATCTCTGCTGCCTGGGTTTCTGAGAAGTGTGCAAGTGTTGCAGTTTGTGTTTTGCAAACAAAATGCTTCTTACTGGAAACATGAAAACCTCAACCAGCCCTTGGGGTTTTGCTTGGGTGTCAGTAGGTTACTTGAGAAAACCCAATTTCTGGGGTAGGGTTTCAGACAGGCCATTGCAGCATGGTCTGACCCAGAGCATCTTCATCGGGCAGAACTATCCCAAGCAGCAGCTCCAGCCCCCTGGTACCTAAGGCTCTGAAGGAGAGTACCAGCAAATCCTCAAAACACAGGTGCTGAGTATTATACACGCCAAACTGCTCTTGTCATCACTGCTGCCTTGCACTGGGCAGGCTCACTCTGAGTTCCAATGCCTGTGCCTTAATTCACTGAGCAGTGCCTCAGTGCTGTCCACTAATACGTGATGCGTGCAGCCTGTGAACTGTTTTCATTCCTGAAAACAAAAGCCAATGGTCATGTAAAGCAAGTTGGTTTTGGCTTTGCTGAGAGAGGCATTGACCAGAAGACACAAAAGTAATTGTACTGAAATGTACAGCCACTCATTTCTCCTCCGGAGCTTTCCTTGAAACAGTCCAAAACAAGCTTCCACAAAACAGCCAAGTTCATGTGAAATCAACAGGATGTGGAAACCTGATCTTCTTCAGGCACTTGCTTCTTGGGAGGACACTCTAGCTTTTTTTGTGAATTTAGCTTTGGGGCATTAGTTACTGACTAAGTCCTGCTGAGCAGAAGTTGCTTAAGCAGTAACTCATGGGTCACACCAGTTCAGACACATGCCTAAGATCAGTTCATTAACACACTTCTAAAGCATGTTGAGTAGATGAGCTGTGACTTCACAGTATTTGAAAACACAGTTTGAATCTGCTTGTCTCAGAAAAGACTTACAAATATAGACACAACTATGGGGCCTCTAATGATCCACCAGGTATTGGCATCAGTGTTAATGTCCCAACACCTGTAAAAATAGAAGGTGTAGTCAGTTATCAATATATTGGTATCCTTTCAAACAGGTTTAGTCTGTTTTGCACCTTAGATAGGCCCCTATTCTCTTTTCTACAAAACTAATTTCTTGTTCTCACTGAGTGGTACAACATGTCTGACAGAAAACTGCCCACATGTACGGGACAGAAACAAGTCCTTCCCTTAAAGCACAAACACTGTTCAAAATTTTGAAAGGGAGAACAGAAAGAAACAAAGTTTAACTGTTCAGAAAGTTAAATACAGATTCTGAAAGCATGTGGTCTGAATTCATACCTGAAGGCTACCTCCTAGCCTTGAAAATGCTCAAATGGAATTGGAAGGTTTTCCTCGTGTTGCTCAGCTGTACCTCTCTACTCACACCCACACTAGGATGCAGGCTCCCACCACAGCAGGGTGTTGATTGATTTACTTGCTCCCAGCAATCAGAAATGAGCAGGACCCCATGGAACAGCCTGCACAGGGCCTGCATGTTCCCCTGGCATGCCAGCTTCCCCCACTCCACACCACTTACCCAATATTTTCATGGAGCTGCCGAGCAGCCGCCCATGCAGCCACAAACACCGCTGGGGCACCTGCAATTGCAAAAAGCAGTTACTGCTTCACAAGTCCATGCCAAAGGCAGAAAAAAACCCAGTTGTCCTCACTGAGGGAGAACCAGTACCCCATCCAAGGGCGATGAACCACAAGAGGAACTTCCTTTCCGAGAAGAAGGAGATCACCAGGAGAGTGTGGAGGTACAGTCCTTCCACCAGGAGCCAGCTGTAGTTAGACATGATGCAATACTGAAAGAAGACCATGGTGAGCTTGCAGCCAGCCTGAGGAAAGAGAGCATAATTAGCTCCTGCCTGGGTTTGTTCCTACCTTCTAGCAGAGACAGAGAGCTGTAAATTAATCTTGGCAAATAGAGATTTTATAGCAATTAGGGGACTAAATGGGTGTCCTTGAGACAGGGGTTCACATGACAAGAAAGCAGAGCTGGCACTCCTAAATGCATTAATCAACTGCCTCACTAGAAGAACTGAATGTGTCATGGACATTTGGATTCAGGTTACTGTCTCAGGGGAATTTCACTATTACTATCTTCCTAGTACCAGCAACACAAACATCACCTCAGAGAAGGGTATGAATGTATTGTCAATCCTTTTTTTACCCCTAAGAAAAGCAGTTGATAAAGACAAATTAAAATGTTCTCAAAATGTAATTTTTCTGCAACAAATATCCAAAAAAAACAGTGGGATAAAACAAAACAAAACAAGCCTATTTTTGTTCCTCTCCCTAATTCTTATCTTTTAGTTTAAACCACTGACCATCATCTTCAGTGTTGCTCACCCCTCCTCACTCCCAAATTTTCGAAATAGTTTGCTGCCAATAAAAAGAAAAAGGCAAAAACATTTCAAAATTTGGGCAGTCACAGACTGTCTGAGTGCAAGCCATATCTTACTATCAGGCCTCACACTGCAGTGTAAGTCAGCAATATTTAATGTGTTCTCAGAGAAGGGGCAGAGCACACCTCTCTTCCCCCATAACCCCTCATGATGAACATAAAGCTGGGATGGAGATTTCCTTCCCTGTACACAAAACCCTGCTAGGATCCTGCTGGGAAATTGAAGGGTGGGGCAAGCTGGTGAGCAGAGGGTTACCGTGTATGCCCCACAGTAATTTGTGTCCTCAGAGGAAAACAAGACTGCATCCTTGATGAAGTTGGATGAGGCTCTCAGAATGAACGAGGTGAAGAGATGCATGTGGATGTAGTTCCTTGTGCAGCGAAGCCTTCTGCAAAAACAAGAGAGAGAGATCCAGTGAAGTGACATTCCTCACCAATGTAAGGAACCTGTGGCTGTAAACAACAGGTTTCAATCCTTAGCAGTGATAAACTGACAAATGAAGAACAGTGTTGTTCTGTCTGCGAAAGGAAGACTAATGCATTTCCCAAGAGGGATATCCTAGAGAAGACCTTAAAAAGCTACAGTCATATCTGCTCCACTCAGGTACTAAAACAAGCTGAATGTTGCCAGGAAAATTGGGATTTCATGCCAATATGCTTGTTCTAGCATCCCTCCCTCCCTCCTTTCTGTAGCAACATGAACCCAAGGTGTTTATTCACACCTGGATGAATTTATTTATTCTGCCAGCACAGTGCACTTGTGCCTGCAGTGTTTTCTCTGTTAAATCTTCACATAGTCTGTGTCCAGAGGCTGTGCAGCCTGAATATAAATCTGCAAAGTAGTTTGGTTTCCTTTGCCCAGAGGTGCCGCCCTGACATTTACTGTAAGGGAAATTATTTCACTGAATAAGCAGCACAGTACAAATTCCAGGTTACAGGGATGAGTGAAGATAAGCTGCATGTCAGATTGCTAATAGAAACCTGAAACACTTTACCACAAGTCCGTGCAGTGGCACTTAGAACAAAGTTTTAGCCACAGCCTCAAGTGGGGAAAAGAGCAGCAGGGAGAAAGAAACTCTGCCCAAAGGACACTGAAATCATGGGAAGACCTCATGAGAGAGTCGGTGCAAATGCCATTTGCAACATGCATCCAGCTATGATTGGAAAGAAAAGGAGAGCACGATGTAATAAGCAGCCCTGACATTTTCTGGGAGACCAGGTTCAGAGATAAATTTTGTCACTGATTTCTGTGAAGGTTTTCAGACATACTTCAATTTTTAGCTTGTCCAGAAAGTCAATAGAAGGATTTTGTCAGCTGTGATGATCAGAAGCCCCAACCAAACACAAACCAGAGATGGTTCTCCTCACCTAAAGGAGGCCAGGACCCCCAAGGCTATCATCAATGTCACAAGGGAGGTGCAGTATCCGATGGTGTACATGGTCTTCAGGGTCATGAAATAGGAACGCTGCAGGGGAACATGTAATCACAGCTTTACCTTGCCTGCCTGCTAGAGATCAGCCCATACCAAATGAAGGATCCCTCCTCCTATTTAATGAATACATTTTCTTGTAAAATCAGCTACTGAAACTTCACTCTGAGCAACCACTTCCAATCATTTGCAGGAAGTATTCATGCTGAAAATCACCAATAAGCAATAGTCCCACCTGGGTTAAATGACAACATCAATCAGTCTCTCCTAAAAGTGTTTCTCCCCAGGGCCCCAGAGCAGCATATCTGTGCTCATGGGCTCTCAGACTCACTCTGGCCTCGTTGGTGGTGTCGTTGACATTGTAGCCACAAGCAATGTCAGGTCTGGGGTATGGCTCTGACCAGCCCTCACTTGTGCAGTTTCGGTACACAAAACCTGTGGGGTAACAATAAAAAACACAGAATGGGTTATGACCATTTCCAGTTTTATCTTTGCTGTCCTCAGGGTTCAGTCACCTTGTAGGGTTGCTCCAAGGGCCAGGAGAGTGTGTTGCCCCAGGCAGTGCTCTCTGCATAGCTGGAGGCAAAATGCAGCTGAGCTGATTCTGTTGATACTTGCCCAGTGTGCTTGTGTGGGTCACAATATTGTTTGCCCACTCAGGGATGACTGTGATGGATGTGTTTTTATTAATTGCAACATAAATAATACTGCTCAGTACATCTGGTGTTTCTTGGCCACTATTCCAAGATCAGCAAACACATGACTTGTTCAGCCACAGAGTCAAGCTCCATGCAAACCTGATACTCTGCTGGATGCTCCCACCTCCTTACTGTGGTTTGTCATGCTCCAAATAGAACACAAAACTGTAGATGGTCACAGATTTTCAGTAAGATTTAAATGAATACTAAAAGTCTTTTCCCAATACTGGGCATTATTTTACACAGTTGATTTCCTTGCTTACTTGCAAATTAAAGGTTAGGAAGAAATTCCCCTCTTAAGCTCAACTTCTGGAAAGCTGAGTACTCAAGTCCAACTGCGTCCCTTGGGGCTGTGTTCAGAGAAAAATAGACATTTGCAGAATTCAACTCATTTTTCATACTGGTATCCACAAAGGGCAGTTTGTCTGACCCTTTTCTGCTGGGATGTCTGACTTTTAGACTCCTAATGCTGAGTGAGATGAATGCCCAGCAAGCTGCACATGGCTGAACAGGATAGTTTTGAACTTATCCACATTAATGTTTGGCTCTAAAGTGGAAGTGGGAAGTCCTGCCCAACACCACTTACAATGTCACTGGAAGAAAGCGGCCCTAGCAGGCATGTTTGTTATGTGCTGAAGAGAAACTTTCACAAAGTAAAACAACTTCCCACTGTCCTAATCACATTGATCTGCCTGGTAAGAATCATACTTCAGAAACATGGAAGGAAATCTTGGCTTTGTTGGAGTGATGGCAATGCTAGCAGGTATTTAAAGGGGACGTGAAGCCAGCAGTCCTTCTTAGTACAAGCCTTGCCAGAGGGCACCATAAAAGTCCATTTTTTTCCCACACATTTAGCCATGAGGACTTTAGGGTGCCTGGCTCTAGCAAAACACCCCTGCAGTGCTGAGGAAACTGAGGGAGATGTGTATCCAGCAGTGTCTGGCAATGGTTTATCCTCTTTGGAGTCCTGCTGGAATTGTCAGGACAGAGTCAGGGCTCCTGCTCCCTCTGGGCTAATGCTGGTGACCTGGCAGCATGTCTGCACTTGATTTGAACTCACCTCTGTAAACCTGCAAGGCACAGCAAACAGGCTTAGAACCCTGAGTGGAAAGAGCTCTGGGTGTGTCCTTATCAGACTATTATTCTGATGCTGTTTTGAACATCTTGTTCCAACTCTGCATCTTTGAAAGGGCCAGGCTTGCTTTATAAGCCAGGTTTTCTATGTTTTGCTGCACTGCAGCAACAACAGGAAAAGAAGCAGCTCTCCCAAAAGGTTCTCCCCAGCCTGTCTTGGCACCCAGCAAGGGGGTGGTGTGGTGGGAGATTCTCTACTCCAGCATCAGCTATTAAGACACACTTACTTAACTTGGAGCAAAGCACTGTGCTTGTAAACATGCCTGTGACTGTTTGGTGCTCGAGGCTGTCAGAGCAGATCAGACAAGAGCAGGTGAAGTTCTGTGTGGGTGTGCACATGCTATTGCACAAGAGATTGTGCCAGGCACATCATATGGATGGGCACAAGGAAAATTTTTACAATGCTCCTGAGTTATAGGTTATTATACACACACACTGGGGAAACTGCAGCGTGCCCCACTCAGAGCAGACTGGGTGTCTGCAGTCTGTCTAAGGATTTGGCTTGGTGTTTGCTGGTACTTTGGAATTGCCTAGGCAAGAAGGAACTCTGGCTAAAGGGATGGCTGTGGAACTGGGGCTATCTGATGTGGCCTTTGCCTCTGAATCCTCACAATTGTCGCACCTTCCTTCATTCCTTGCCTAAGACACCATGCTCAGTTCTGTTACTCGATTCCAGACAATTTTGTTTCTTGGTCTGCTATGTAGAAAGGGACCAGACACTCTGGGCTGCAAATCCAAGTCTAGAAGTGAGCACAGAGACCAGGGTTTGGGCAGAGCTCAGAGCCATCCACATGGCTTAACATATGGGCCTTTGGCATTTGTGGCTGCCCATCTGCTTTGTGAGTGGTGAGGAGAGAAAACCTTTGCTTTTCTTTTGAAGCAAGCAGATCTTTGTTTTTCTTTTTCAAAATTGTTCCAAACAGGGCAATGACTGTAGCAGTAAATAAACTCTGGAGTCACAAGTCCACCACAGTATAAAACCTAAGAAGATAAAACCAAAGAAGAAGATGGCCATGAGAATGAGGTTAAACTATTGCTGACTTTGACCCAAAATGCCAGATGCAGAGACTGAAATAAGATGCTAATGATGATGGACCAGGTCTTGGGTCTCTGTTTTGAACACTGTCACTCTGATTACTGTTTCTCAGCTTCTTGATAAAGAGGGCAACTAAAGTTTAAGCTGACTATCTCCAAGATAAGGGAGCGAACATCTGAGATGTAATTATGACCTTTGGATGTACAAATTCCTGCTCTCTTCCCCGGTGAGCAGCCAGAGGCAGGGAGCAGTTCCCTCTAGTGGCTGGACCAGCGGGGATTTCAGTTCCTGCATTTCAGGGCCGGGATCACTGTGCTGAAGGGGATGCCAGACGGATGGTTTCCTCAGCGATCTAAGCCTTTGTGCAGTTTATCCTTTGGCTTTAAACCAGCTTAAAGGGCTCAAAGGGCAGATAATGTTCGTGTGTACAAAAAGTAGGAGGGTTTTTATTTTAATCTGAGTGGCTCATGTCTGATTTCATTTAAAGAGCACTAAGTGCTTCTCCTTTGAGTTATATAATCTTTATTAGACAATCTAATACTTTGTCTCCTGTTCCTCCCTCCATAAAATGAATCTGTCTGCTTTTCTGTGAGTACTGGACATCATTAATCTGTGCCCTATAACTGAAGAATGCAAAACCTTCTTCCCATTTGAATCATTAACTCCCGAAAGAGAAACATAAACACATTTCTGAGGCATTACTGAAAAGCAGAAATGAACAGAAAGCAGGATTACTTAATAGCTCATGATTACTGCAGTCTGTTGGGAGTAAATTTCACTTCATTTCTAGCTTAGATATACCAGAAAAAAAGGACAAAAAAAACATTGCTTGAGCTCACTTCTGTTTGAGTGAATTGTTTGGTGAGCCATGAAACCTGAATTTCCACGAGATTATGTGACTTGTATGGGTCCTGTCACAGGCAAGAGAGAAATCCCCAGAGCAGATTTCCTCTTAATGAAAGCAAAAAAAAGGGATCTTTTCTGCCTGCCTAGCTGGATGTTTTGCCAAAACTCATGTGAACCTAATGCTGTGTGAAGTTTTGTCCCCATCAAGCTCCTCTGGGACCAGCCACTGGCTCTAGGAGTTATTAAAAGGGAAGGACAGAAATAAACACAGAGCCTGAGTGGAGAAAACCCTTTTCCTTGAGAAACCATGCTGAAAACCTGATTTTCAGGATATCATTTAATTCCTGCACTTTTTTTCCATCTGGCTAGAAAACACAAACACTTAAAAGATCTTGTTACTTTAATTCAGGCTTTTTCATGTCCACCTTAGAGGGGGAAACAAACCTGCTAAGTAACTATTGTTCTTTAAAAGAAGGAGAGAAAAATATTCATTTCAAGTTCAGACCTGAGCGTGGCATCTTTGTAAAGAAATAAAAAATAAAGTGTTTAATAAATAAGTGTTTAGTAAAAGACATCTGGGTGAGAAAAGCATCATTTTAGCATTACCTTTTTTCCCAGTCAGCATCTGAAAGAATTCAGGGCAGTGAGCATTGACAGTCTGTCCCACAGAGGATGAAGGCCAGCAGCTCATGTTGTCCCACATTCCAGCACATCTGCCTGTGGGGGACAACAAGGGAATACCATAGAGCATCTCCCAGGGACACAACACCATGAAACTTCTTCCAGCAATGAGACACTGGGACACATCTCCAAGCATCTCCCACGGACCAAGGCAGCTGCAGGAACAAAGATGCTCAGTGCTCTGAAAAGAAAGCTGGATGAGACAGAGCAAGTCCTGCCGAGACCTGGATAGGACAGAGCAGGTCCTGATTGCTTCAAACCAGCCCCAGCAAGTTCCCAGACTTGTCCCAGTCTTGTCATTGATCCCACTGGTCTCTACTAGACACACAAAGTGTAATTAGAGCAATTCTGAACTTCACATCAGGCCTTTTGCTACCTAACTGTTTGCCGGTAACTACTGAATGGCCCTGGAAAGATGAAAGAAATCAGATGGGAATTTTTAAACTTATTTTCACTCTTTCTAAAGCTTTCACTTTGAGTCATTCTAATGTTTTGCTTACATAATATTTTTTTTAAATATGAAAAAATGCAACTAGATGACCCTGCTTGAGCAGGGAGGTTTGGCCAGATGATCCACTGGTGCCTTCCAGCCAGTGATTCTGTGACTAAAAAGCTCCAGGTTGATACTTAAACCACAGATCACTTAAATCACAGACTATTCTGAGTTGCAAGGGACCCACAAAGAGAGTACAACTCTTAAGTGAATGGCCCATTTGGGGATCACACCCATGCAGACGTTTTAGGACTATGCTCTAACCAGCTCAGCTAATCTCATCATACTGGGGAAAGGATAGAGAGGAACAGCATCATTTTCTTCCTTTCATCACCATAAACACTCCTCTCTTTCACTGTGCTCAGGCTGCAGTGAAGTGAACAATGCCATCAGACCACTCACTGAGCTTGGCTGCCCAGACTCACCCCATTTCAGTTAGGTGCTTATTTTAAGGATAGGCTTGTCATGGTCCCCTCTCACAGTCAGGGAGAGAGGGAGACTTTTCCAGCTGCACCCTCAGCTTGACTGCATTGCCTTCTGGCAGGGCTGGTAGAGATGCATCAGGGAGCTCATCTGGGGGCCAATGGAGCAGAGTATGATGGTGATCTCTACTTAGACATCTTGCTTAGGTGCTGGATGCTGGCATGGATTAATTTTGGCCTGAGGTGCAGAGTGTTAGTGCAGAAGATCTACATTTGATCTCTTTGTAACAAAGGGAAACTGCAATCCTACAATTTCTTATTTTGCTCGTCTCCAGGTACAGGCTGAACTCACCCAGATTCATTCCCTTTTGCCTGCACTCCCTGTCAATGGTTTTATCACAGCCTTCTTTGAGGTTTCTGCAACAAAGGGGGGAAAAGGCCACTGGGGCATGCCAGGACTGTGCTGTGCCTGCTGTATCCGGGCATGTGCCGTCTGCCCTGCATGCTCCCTGGAAGCCAAGGGGAGGAAGTGCTGACCAAGCACTCTCCTCAAACACTTCACGCTTTATAAGGCCAGCCTCCATTAGCCTGACAAAAATATTTATATTTCTAGAAATGTATTGATTTCCTTCTGTGCGACAGCCCTAGTGCCTGAAAATACAGAGCTGTTCACAGCCAGGGCAGCTCCTCAGCCCTGGTGTCCTCCCTTTGCCAATGTTTATAAGTCTTGGAAAGGATTTACTTCAAAGCAAAAGCTTAAAGGCAAGCAAAGCTTCACCTTGGGTGATATATACGACTTAACGTGCTGCATTGTTTGGTTTATCGAACCTTCATGCCAACACTACAGGCACAAAACCCCAAAATCAGACCAAATTTACAGAAAAACCTGGAAAAATTATGGTGCTGGGTGGTTTCCATTCAGGAAGAGAAAACAAAAACCAGCCAAGCTATTTCTTCTGCAGGCAGGCTTCTTGCCACTCCTCATAGCTAAACGCTGGAGTCTCCCACCCTCGGCTAGATAAAGAGCCTCAGGGTGGAGACAAAGCACAGCAACATCTCCCTCACAGAGCCCTGTGCTCTTTGGGATGTGCCTCAAGCAGCACTCAGAGCATTCTCCCAGCAGCAATACACAGTGTCACCATGATCAGGGGTGCCAGCAGCTTCCCTACCCTGCTCCTTGCTCCCAAGAGAACTTCCTTGTCCTCACTCATGCACTAAAAGGAGCATAACTGTGACTTGGGTTATGTTAATATTACACTGCTCCATTTCCCAAGCTAATGTTATCATAAGGGCAGAGTCCCTTTTCCCTTTTACTGCTGGAGGATAAGAAACACCCATTCTCAGGCACTTGGTGCCTGATTCCCCAGCAATGAATTCCTATGTTTGTGCCATCTTCACAGAGATGTGAGCACTGCAGCAGAGATGGCATGGTGGGAGCTTGTCCCCTGCTTTGTCCATTTTCCTGCCTGTGCCAGTCAAAGCTTCTGGGGCAGCTGCAGGAAGGACAAGGTATGGAAGGTGCCCCACACCCTGCAAAGCCACCTTTATTCCTCTCTGCATGACCCACCAAGGGTATGCACTGAATTCCTCAGCTTTGTTCCTCTCTTCTTCAAACTGAAATCCTTGTATGGGGTTTTTTCCACATGGACTTCAGGCCTGCAAATTCCTTAAAGGCTGGAAGTATTTTCAGGTGTGTTTTTTCCCAGAATAGAAGCATTACTCCCTAATTCACCAAGGTAACAAAGCTCTCTTAGAGTTTGATAGAATTTTAGGTAGAATTACCTCATTTAAAAATTCCAATAATGAAAGGCCTTGGGTGAATTTTAAGGTGTGGATCCAGTTTAAAGTTGGATTAAGTCTCTGCTGAGAAGCTACTATTTGACTGAGATAAAACAAGACCATCTGTAAAATGGTACTGCCTGCTAATGCTAGTGCAGGTCCACACTGGCACGGTCCTGTGGAGTTTTACTTGTCTGCATCTGCTGTGGAGCTCTGGTGCCAAGGAAACACAGAGCTGAACATTAGAGCCATATCACAGGATCAAAGCAGAAAAATAAATAGGCTGACAAACCAACCTGCTCTTCACTGAAGGAAACAAACTATACTGAGTTATTAATATCATCAAACTTCTTACATGCAATGAGGCAGATCTGCCTTGTGGAGTACCTGGAAGTCTGCCATAAGGTATCCTGTCACTGCCACATGGCTCTACTGCCCTGAAGCTGTGCTCACACCCATCAGTCTGCAAGGTACAGGCATAAAACAGTAACAGAGAAAAATGCAAGACATTCTAAGAAACCAGGCAATAGACCTTCCCTCTGAGTTCTGTCCTTGGGCCAGGTCATAGTGAGACTGTTCTGTGTCTCCAACATTCTCTGTTAGAGAGGAAGGCTTTGAAGCTAAGAAAACACCTTTACTAACTCTAGCTCCACATGGTAGCCTATCTGTGGGCAGGACAGCCTGCGCACAGCACATCTATGGGAGCTCCTTCCCTTCTCACGCTGGTAAGAACCTTGCCCATGTTACAGTGCACAAGTCACCCAGAATCAGTTCAGTGTGTGGGATTCTGTGAGTGACACACCCCCATCCTCAGTGGTGATGGCTGCTCAACACTAAAAATAGTCACATGTGTTGTCTACACCCAGTGTTCTCTCTGAAATGCTGACCCAGCAGCTGCCTGGGGGAAATAACACGCAGTTCACAGGCAAGGCTTAATAATCCCTTGCACATGACCCCAGTTGCTCAGCTGTGAAAGCAAAGCTGTCTACATGATGAGGACTCAGTACCGCAACTTTCCCAGGCCAAAAAGCTCCTTTGTACGATGATAAATCCTCGCTGAAATTCAAGAACTCTGTTAGGTGACAGTAACTTGGAACAAGGAGGAAGCAATGAGGACCTTCAAGCCATGTGATTGAAATGTTGGCTGCTGGTCATCATTGATTTTTAAGGTAAACATAGTTAAGTAAATTTGCAGTTGCCAGGGTGACTTTTTAAATTATCCTTTTCCAAGAAGACACAATTGCAATTTGCAAGATTTTGTTGCTGGTGTGTTCCCTAGTTGTGAGGATTGCAGTCAAGCAACTGGGTTAGAAAGTTCCCACAATTGTTCCTGTCACAGTAAGGTCAAAATCCCACTCTCAAAGCCTTTTAACAGATCTTACCTGTTTTTCTGCTCTTAAAGGAGAGATGTATTACCTATGGGAAGGGTTGCCAGGGTATCTGAGTTTGAGGCACCCAGTTCATGTGATAGCAGGTTTTATCATGTGCATTTGTTCAGCCTTTACCTGAGCTTAGGAGCAGATCATTCTCAGTCGTTCTGTTCCTTGCCTCCAGAGAAAGAGTCTCCACACACTTTTCTTCCTCCCTTTTCAGGACGCTCAGAAGGTCACAGACAGGTGGAATAGCTTTGATCTACAAATTTTAAAAGCAGTGGAATCACTTTTCCTCTTAAAACTTATAAAATCTCAACAGAATCTATCCTTTTTATGCTCATATTCCCCATGCAAATTTATCACTTGATTGTGAGCAATATTTCCTTGAAATACAGACAATTTTCCCAGTTAAGTCTGCATTTAGGTAGTAGCAGCAGGCGAACACAGACTGAGTTTATGTCTTCTCCCTTTTGCTGACATTACTGACATTGAGAAAAATGTGTTATTCTGCTAAATTAAGTACATGAACAGGATGCTCTTCCAAAAGACTGCAGAAACATCCAGGACACTGCTGGAGTCTCCTAGAGTAACAGAGAATTAATCACTCACCCATGGCTGTGTTAAACCATACACCTGGCAGGTCATTTTCCTGGGCACAAGTGATCCAAATATGCCCACTGGTGGCAGACCACCCCAGCCTGTTTCCCTGCTACCATCTGGTAGCTGCAGGAGCCCACCTGAAAGCAGAATCTCACCCAGATTTTCGTGAGAACCTAGATGGCAATTTGTCCTAAGGTCATTTTCATATCTTCCCAGCCTCCTTTCTCATAAAACCATGTGGGAATGTTAATATTCACTTAATCTGATTATAGCAATTTATGTGTGTTTATGTTTTATGCAGCTGGACCAAAATCAGTGAAAAAAACAAACAGCTACAGACCATTAAAATGACAAATATTGAAAATCATTACAAAATTATTTGCAGGACAACGTCTTAACAGTTATGTTGTTCAGAAAAAAAGTATTTTTACCCTTTTCAGGGTAAAAGTTATTTTTACCAGTGTCTATTCTTTTTGACACAAGAAACATGAATGTAAGTGGATGCCCATTACCATGAATTAGATAAATTCTCTCTAATGGATAAACCCAAAATACCTAGAAATTCTCACTATGGAACTTTTATGTACATATACATAAATGCATATGTATGTACATGCATCATGAAGAGATTAGAAGCCAGTAATCAGGCTCTATTAGCTGAAAATTATCAGATAGACTTTGTTTATGTTCTTTGTTCAAGAAAGTCAACCCTGCAGCATCACTTTACTGCTCAATCTAATAAATCTTGTAGTATTGCTGATCACTTTCAGATTAGATTTCAGAGAAAGAACAATCCCTGAAAACCTTGTAATGAGAACTATTACTTTTGTACAATTAAATTTTAGCTACCAGACATTAGAGACAATATTCCCACTATATTGGCTGGAAATTTTTTGAGTATTGTATTTCTGAACTAAGTTTGATATTTTCAGCAGTGTTATCATACCTCACCTAATTGGTCTGGTGTATAAACTTGTGTTTAACTTCAGTATCCTCCTTCCTTGTCTTTGTGTGTCATGAAATAAACGAACTAGAAATCACCTGGTTTTGTACAATGTAATAAATTTTCTGGAATCACACATGCAAAGACTTTATATGAAACAAACTCTTTTCTGATGCCAGGATTTGAATGCTGAGCATTTGAAGTGGCCAACACAACCAGTCTGGGTTGTTAAGATGATACTGAACATATGTAAAACTAAATGCTAGGAATCATATTAACAATGATCTCAGAAACAGGGGAACACTCCATCTTAAAAAAGCCTTTACATTGTGTGGGCACTGCTTTCCTTTAAGAAATATGGGTCCTAAGAAAGTTTTTGTTTTACAAAAATTTAAATTCTGTGTTATTTCTTTATGACTTGAGTGAGGCCACACACTTTTAGCACACACAGTTGTGAAGAACACTCTGATGATACAATACAGCATTACTTTCTTACACTAAATGTGTTGTTCAAGCAGGACTACAGCATAGGTAGTGCCTTACAATTACTGTTTTACCCCACAAAGTGATGTCCACCCCATTCTTTAATCAGCTGGACACCCCTTCCTGGGAATAGAAGTGCAACTAACAGGATTTTTACCCAGGGAAAGCAGAGAGCTTCCAGGTGTGGGTTTAGAGACCTTGTTTTCCACCAGGCCTGTCCCTGAGCCAGTCTGTGCCAACGCAGGCATCCGAGGCAGCAGGCGGTGTGCGCGCTCGGATGTTTGCGGAGCGATGCGAACGCCGCTTCCCATGGCGCGGCCGGATAACCCCACTCTGCCAGCAGCTGTGCTCAGTCTCACTCGTGTTTACCCTCCACAAGTGGGAGCAAACAGCCTGCCCCCGCTGCTGGAGAGCGAGGAGGAAAAGGGGCTCCTCTACGTGCTGTTTCTATGTCTCTTCCTAAACAGTTCCCTGAAACAGTTGTGATCTCCTTGACACTTCACCAGCTACTAAATTAACTCTATCCCAACTGAAACCAGGACAGAGAGAAAACCCTCTTCATATTTTGTTAAAAGACAAGATACCAATCCCATTCCAAATAGAGATAACTGTGATTAATAGATCTCTAGAACAGGCAAAATTCTGCAACATTGACAGCAACGGCTAACACAGTTTTTAAAGTGTGAAAGGAGTGAATCTAAACGTTATCCAGAATTCACAGCCATTTCATTTTAAAATAAGTGGATTTAGTATAATAAGAGGATTTAAGTAGCAAAAGATGCCTGGCAAAACCAAACAGGTATTTTCAATCACTAGAAGAACCAATGGAAATAGGTGCTCTTGGGGACACTCCGAGCAATGACATCTATTTACAAAGTCCTTTAGGTAGTACTAAGAACAAGAAACCAAAATTACAAGAAAACAATCACAGTCACAATTTTTATTGCAGAAAATCATCAAAAGGCAAAAGGTTTGAAGATTGCATCCACCCTGCAATTAAAATGTCTAGGCAGAGCTCAGGTTTTCTCACAGTTGGAGCCAAATTCCCTGCTGGGACAAATAAATTGATTTTTCTATTTGTTGCAATGAAACTGTGATTTGATCCTGTCCTAACTTCTCACACCCAAGCTAGACATATTTCACCCCTTGTTTTATATGCATTCAAAATCTGAATAACCTGAGCAGCACCTGGAGATCACAGCCCAGGTTCCACTCTCCTTTCTGTCTGCTCCAAGCGCCTGGAGTTCAGCAGTGACAATCTGCCACATAAATCTCAGTAAAGTGATAAAGCTAAAAAAAAGAAGACAAACTTTGTGTTTTAAACATTGCTTCACATTCCTTCAATCTGAGTCCAGGGAGGCACTGCTAGATGTGGGCAGTGCCCCTTAAGGAGTTGATTGCTGGTGTAAATCAGTAAAGCTTCTCTGAATGGAGTTAAATCTTATCTCCTTCAACACAGTACCTGCTGTGTTTGTCAAAGTGTGCTAGTAACACTTCTGTCTTTATAAAGGTGTGGAAACTGAGGCATCCAGCATCTAGTCATCTGGCCACTGTCAGTTAGTGCAGGAAGCAGCAGAAGCAAGAAGAAAATTTAAAAATCCCAGATTCTACACAGATCTTTTTGAACAGAGACACCACAACTTCATGGAATAGAGGTGCTCAACATTACTCAGCTAACATGTGATTCCATGCAAATGGGAATAAATAGATATGAGCACCTACCGGGACAGTTGAAATCCAGAAGATCACCCAGATGGTCCACATAGTCAATTACAGCCTCTTTTCTTCATGCCTCATGCATCAGAGGTCAGCAGGCTGTTTGTATGCTCTCCAGTGTGGCTCCTAGCTCTTTTCACTTCATCCTTTTCCCTCCTTGCCTTTTTCCCTTCCCAGTTTTGACCATCCTTAGCCAATGTTTCTCTCCAGCTGCTGAGCTCTAGAGAGCATCAGCAGTGACAGGACCCCCCCTCCTCCTCTGCAACTCTCCTCCTCCTTTGCAGAAGCGTCCCAAGAATTGCAGCACTTCTCTTGAGCACATGTTCCTACTGCTGTCTGCCTCCCTTCCTGGCTATTATTCACTGTTATCGATGGGTGTCGCTGGGCAATGATCGTTCCTCATGCTCCCACGATAAGGGACCAAGCAGGACTCCCCTGTAGGATGTCAGCCCCACAACGGCAGGGGCAAACAGACAAGGGGAAGTACAGCCCTGGAATAAGTGCTCTGCTGAGAAACCGAGTTGGAGGAATGTGCTTCAGGCTGCCTGCACTGCTTTCTGCTCCCGATAGCTCTGCACATGCTTCCCACGGGGAGCACACGTCCCTGAGAGGCAGAAAGCAGGAAGCCGGCAGAGCCTGCTGCAGGTGAGCCAGCTGCCTGCATGTCCCACCAAGCCCAGTTGAACACATCTGCCAGAGCCAAAGACAACTTCTTGTCTGGGATAAACAGGGAATCTGCTCTTCCCTTCCAGAGAGGACTCCAAATATTCCCTAGATTTCATCTTCTTATCCAGCATCTGAAGAAACAGCCAGTCTGCATTTCATCCAAATGCTATAGGCTGCAAGGTGTCATTGCATTTGGATCCCACTGGTACCTTGTTTCTGGCATGTAGATTTCAGACATCCTGGCTTTCCCAAAGATAGTTCCTTGGCAAGTCCTCTCACCTGTCAGCAGAGCACTCTGTTGTTCCTGGTTTTGTTTCTGTGGCAAAACTATTGTAAAGGGGCTATGTGCTTAGCTGGGTGTGAGCTCCCAGCTGCCGAGGCAGACACTCCAAACCCTTGCTGGTCACATTCACTTCTAGCACAATACTGAATACAGCTTCAAAAAAGAGCCAAAGTTTGCACTGTGTATACCAGGGCTCTTTCTCCAAGCACAGCAGTCCTCAGCTTGTCTCAAAACATCATTTACCACCTATTCCAATTTGCCATCACCAGACAGGTTAAATTTAATGAAGTGCTGTCGAGAACACAGATGTGCTCCAAGTTTATGAGTAAAGTCAATGACTAGGAAAAATATATGGCTAATTGCCTGTGCACTGAAAATCCTGCCATTGGATTAAACAAGTTGTCTGCTGAGCAGCACAATGAAGGAATTTGGGCTGCCTAGCAAGTGCTGCCCTTTCCATGCCTATCCCGACTCCAGTTCATCTCTATATGTGCTCATGAAGATCACTGAGTTGCAATGCTCCCTCTTTCCCTGCACACCAGCCTCATCTCTCCCCACAGTCCCAGCAAGCAGCAGCATTTGCTGAACCCCACACTGGCTCTGTCCTGCTCATCCAGCACACTCACACAGCATCCTTTCTCTCACAAATGCTTCAGTCTTCCTTCCCCCAGTCCACACTTAACTTGCAGTGATTTTCATTTCTCGAAGACATCTGCTTCCCCACAGAGTTTGGTTGAAAATATCAAAGGGTTGAGCAAACAGTTGAGAGGGGGTCTGAGAGGCAGACAGACAATGGTTGCTGTATAGTCTGAAGAAACCACATTGACAACACTGCATCATCTCACTGGGGCGCCAAGTCCTTCTCTCTCTTCCTTTGGCTGAAGGAATATTTTATTATTCCATTCATATTGCAGCATCTTCCCCTGAAAGCCAGCACTCTTTCTTGCACTTATGTAATTGAGAGAGCTTTGCTTCTGAATGTACTTTGTAGTGTGGCACTTTTTCCAAAATAGGCCCAGGAGTCTGGATTTGAATACTAACAGTGTGAATTAATATTTTGTGATCGCCCCCCACTTTATTCATATGCAGGGTGAGTGTTTGAAAGAAGATGGATGCAAAATAAAACCTGGGGGATTCTCACCTGTTCAAACCATTGCTTGACTCACAGCAAATGTCAGCCCAGTGGGACAGACAGGGAGAGCTGGGAAACCTAACAGCAGCAGCAGACTACAAAGAATTATTACCAAGATTTCACAGAGCCCCAAATGAGATGATTGTTTAATGAAGCAATAGCTGTGTGCATTTGCTTTTATACCTACTATGTATACCCCTCATAAATTTGTCACAGCTGGAATTTCTTTCAAGTCTGCTATCTGAACCAGGAAAGAAACATCTGAATTTGCTCACACCATTTCAAAAGACTTTTCACTTTAACTTTAGGAGTAAATAAAAGAAATTGCTTTGTACTATTCTGATTGTAGGATTGTTTACTTATCAAACACTAACCAACTTTGATTGTAAATATTTATTTATTAATACTTAAAAATTCCATTAGTGCTTGAAACAACTAAATTTTCTCCTCCCTTTGCTAAATAATTAAATTGTTTGCAATGACTTTACTACAGCTTGACAATCAGGCCAAACATTTTTCATCTGACATTTGGAATAGAGAGACGAAACTGAGGCGAGAATCACCTATTTAAACCCTGCTTAACATTCTTTATTTATATCAGCCTTCCCAAGGAAATCTGAAGGTTTGTTGGCTGACAACCCACTCTTTTCACCTACCTTTCCCACTTATTTTGCTGTTCCAGGAAACTTTACAGAGTGCTTCTCCAGACGTGCATCATGTTCAGACCCTCTGATGTGGAAGCAGACATGGTTTTTGGTTTGCACTCAGCTATCACTGTCCAAACAGACTGATGAACATGTGAACTGTGAGGAGAAATATGCTCTATTTTACCCCTATGTTAGAAAAACTGAAAGTGAACAATTTTATTCTTAGAATATGAAAGAAAAAACCTCATTGTGGAAACAATTCTGGCTTTCTATATTAAGCCTATATTTAAGACATCATGTCAAGGGTATAGGAATAGTTTTTTCTAACCATAAGCAATTACATCTTACTAAGTATGGGAACTATGTTCTGGGATTTGAACTTTATGATCTGAAGCTTTTCTTGCTTACATTTTTATCCAAAATGAATGCACCACTTTTGGACACATTTTACCCCTGTGTTAGAAAAACTGAAAATAAATTATTTCATTCTTAATCCAGATCACCTCTCTGAAGGGGAAAGGAAAAAAAAAAGGAAGAAAACTTTGTTTTCTTTGCTTTCCCTTCTCCCTTGTACCCATTTAGGGGAAAACCCTCATAATTTATGGGTGGTATGAAAAATACACTGAACAAAGGTTTCCAGGAGTACTTTCCAAGGGATGGTCCTTTAATGCTCAAAGCAAGAACACAAAAGTGAGGAAGAAAAAGGAGACGGGAGGGAAAGCGAAAAAGAGGGTTTTTAAAAAAAACAATATTGTAGTAAAACTTTCAAAATCTGTTTTGAACCAAGTAAGAACAATTTAGGTGTTAATAGATGAGAGTTTTTAAAGGGAAAGAAGTGCCTCTGCTCTGTCTGTAGCCACACTGGGAATACTGAAAAAGACGCTTATTGGGGAGAAGTAAAAAAAAAAAAAAAAAAAAAAAAATTAAAAAAAAAGGGGGGGAGGGGTGTCTTTTACTCTTTTTTTGGATACTTTTAGCCGTCAGAGGAGCCGGAGTGCCGCTGTTGGGATCCTGCCCAGCCCAGCCGCGAGTGGTGCGGCCCAGCGCGGCTGCCCCGTTGCCGAGCGACCGCCGCGGGGCTGCCGTGAGGGCAGGGCCGGGCAGGGCCGGGCCGGGCCGGGCCGGGCCGCGGGGCTCCGGGTGGGCAGACAGGGAAAACCGGGCTATGCCGGGGCTCCGGGTGGGCTGACAGTGAAAACCGGCCTGTGCCGGGGCTCGGGGAGCGCTGACAGTGAAAACCGGGCTGTGCTGGGGCTCCGGGTGGGCTGGCAGGGAAAACCGGGTTGTGCCGGGGCTCCGGGTGGGCAGACAGGGAAAACCGGGCTGTGCCGGGGCTCGGGGAACGCTGACAGTGAAAACCGGGCTGTGCCGGGGCTCCGGGAGGGCTGACAGTGAAAACCGGGCTGTGCCGGGGCTCCGGGAGGGCTGACAGGGAAAACCGGGCTGTGCCGGGGCTCTCTCGGGCTGGGGGCTGCGGCAGCGGCAGGTACGGGCTGTGCACAGCGATGCCTTTTCCAGCCTCTCGCAGCTGTAATGGCTTTGCACCGCGTCCTTCGGTGTGGTGAAGTGTGCGAGGAGCTCCGAGACGCTATAAGGCATTAGAAGGCCCGAGCGCTGGCAAGGAGAAGGGCGATAACCTGGTCTGAGGGCGTTGGGGTGAGTTTCCCCAGGGTTTCACACTTCTACTCACACACACACACAGACACACACACAGAAAGGCTTGAAAGACACAGGTGGAAAATTTAAGAACATCAGGTATTCCGTCATTCCAGAACCTTAAGGATTTGTCCTGTATTAGCCCTTTGAGCAACACGCAGTGTGTTATTGAAGTTGGTGAGCCATGATGGCACCGTGACTGTAAATTACTGGAAGGGTTCTACCAGGAATCCTTTGAGGAGACTTATGTCTGCCTACACCTTTTCCAACCTTGCGTTCCTGAGGCGGAATGCTGACCAGGAGAAGGAGGGTGGCAGTGGTGTAAATTAAAGTTGGAGAACACAAGTGGAAAAAATGTAAGCTTTATCCTTATGTTTAGAAATTTTTTTGCAGTGTTTTTTGTCTGAGTTTGGTCTTGCTACATCAGAATGAATTTACTGTTGTGCACAATAATGCAGCCCCTCTTGCAGGTTTTCTGTTGTGAGTGGAAAATTTGTGTTTGGTGTTATTGAGTGGAAAATATTATGAAGGCCAGGGTCCTAGCAGCACATTATTTTAAGCTTCTTGCTTATTTATTATTTAATACTGTACAAAACCATAAATCAAACCAGCACTTTATGAGCTTGAAGCACCTCTCAAGTTGTGCTTGAAAGATCTAAAGCAGACTGGAAAATCAAACAAATACCAGAGATGAGACCATAAAATGTAATGGGGGAGGTGGAGTAATGATTCCACTTTGAAACTGTTGAGTGCTGCCTGCTTGAGGGCTGAAAATCCCAGCATGGCTTTTGAATTCAGTATTTGTTCCAAAACTATTGTGTCTTTGTCTCCATGCAGTTCTTCAGTTCATACAAGAGCCAAGGGCTCTGTGTGCTCTGTTTATGAAGATAGTTTCTGGTGGATGGTTCATGCCTGGTGTCTTTATTATGTAAAATTTGCACTTGTCATTAGAGAAATTTATGTTCTGATAACTCTGCATACTTAACACAGGATCTGTAATGTCCATGGCTTTCTGTGTTTACAGTTATCTTCCCTGAACAAATGACCCAGATGATGCTATCCAAACGAAATACTCAAATGCCAGATTTCTTATCCCTCATATTAATATTTAAAATTAAATATTAATCTGCAAGTTAACAACTCAAACACCCAGGAGAGATTGAAAGAACACATCTGCAGAAATCAGTTGAGATAGTGGAATTAACAGAACCTGTTCCCTTCCTCTCTGATGGGAGACATGAAGGAAGACAGAGATATTATACACGGACCTGAAAGGCAAATGTCCCCAGCAAGCCTTAGAACAGATGTCCCCCAAAAGGCCTTGCAGTGGGAGCAAGGTTTCCTGGAATCCTTCTCTCCTTGTGCTTAGCACACACAGAGTCATCTACTTCAGCAGGGAAAAAAGTAGCTCCCTCTCCTAAATGTTTTTAGGCAGTTTAATGCAACAGGTAGTACCAGTGTGAAAGAAGATATATTGATCATTATATTGTTTTCATTTGACCACAGGCACTGAGGAATTTTAGTGCCATTGAGAGCCTATTTCTGTCCTAACATGGACCTGGTTCAGTCAGCCTCCCCAGACATCACAGTCACTCGGGGGTCCTTGAAGAAAGTTCCCAGTGTCCTGAGCAGCCTCGTGGAGGAACCTAAAAAAAGACCTGCTGTCCCACATCACCTGCTGGAATCAAGTAAGTTCCTGCTCTCTGACTGTTCCCAACCTTGTGGCAATTCTAGGACACACTTGGTTATTTTTTTTTTGCAACTCCCATCCTGTTGCTTAAATTGCAGCTTCCTGAGAGTCTAAATCATGGAAGGGGTAGTCAGGAAAGAAACAGTGGCTGTGCTGATCCTGGCTGACCCTAAAGTTTTGGGTGGCTTGTTGAAACCATGATGCCAGGAGATGAACTGGTGGCAGAATCATGGATCTGCTGGGGTAGTGGATGGTGCCATAACTTTCCATTTATAAATTTATGCCTGCTTAAAAGAAGAAAGAATCTCTTTTTTTTTTTTCCTTGATAATCAATCAGTATAGCATAATTAGACTGCTTCAATGCAAGTACCACTCGTGTGTTTCTGCTCTTTTTTTCTCCCTGTTTTGTGATCTGTAGAGATTTATTCAGAGAGTCAGAGGAGCAGGGTTGTGCAGCCTGAGCCTGCCGTGTTACACTATGGAGGGTATGAAATTGGAAAACATCATCAACAGATGCTGGTAAGTTCTGGAGCAGGGGTCCCCTTGGGGCTCATAAAAGGACAGCAGAATCTGAATTGACTCCTTGTGGTCATGAGGCCTTTGCCCTGTGGAGTGCTCTTAAAAGCAGCACTTAAATTCAGTGGTCCTGTGGTAACAAAGAGATGAGTGAGCTGTGAGCATCACCCTCCTTTATACTCCCTGTTTCCCATGTCTGCATCAGTGTTTGTGATATGTGACTTGCACATCATGAATGGAGGATTTGGGCTTTAACTCCACAAGAGACTTGCTTTCAAAATGTCCTTGGACTGTCACTGTGTCTGCAAACATGTCTACTGGTGGGAAAGTTTTGAAAGCACCTCTGGTCTTTTGCCAAGAACAATTTATTCTGAGAAAGGAAATTCAGTGCATAGATTTGATTGCCTTTCCTTGCGAATGGTTTGGGTATTTCCTTTTCTACTGTCTGCTTTCCCTTTGTGTGCCTTTGTTATTCATGTTTTAAGTGTATTGAGACAGAGGTTGGTAGTTATATTGGACTAGGTTCTCTGAATGCAATGAAAGTAAACAAGTGCAGGAGGCTTTGCAGGCTGAACTGTCACTGTCCAAAAGTCAGTTGGTTATACACCAAAACAGAACCATGAAATATTATGTAATTCTTTTTGGTTCAGATGTCCCTAAAAGTGATCAATAAGTTGTTTGTTGCAAATAAAATATTTGTTCCTTTTGCATGTAAGCAAAACAGCATCTGAATTTGATTCAATAGTAGCATCTTTCTAGCAAAACTAACTGTTACTCCTTGGTTAAAAATTGGGACTTGTTTCCAAAGAATAAAAATGCAGGATGTAAGTTTTGCATAGTTTTATTTTAAATTCAGAGCATATTTAGAATTGTTTCTGCTAAAGTAAAAATTATTACTTCTTGCTATGGAGGGTTTTACAAAAAGTATAGTTGGTGTTCTTAACTGACCTCTTATATTGTAAAGTGTCTTGTGGTTTTTGTTTTCTTTTGTTCTGCAGAAGCTGATAAATATTTCTACCAATGCAGTAAACCTTCACATAATACCACCCCAGACGATGTATTTTCAGATCAAATACAACAAAGCAGTAAGTGCCAGAAAGTCCTCACTCTGCCCTTTGTATGCAGCACAGGGTTTGTGCCATATAAGCAGCTTTTACATGGCTTCTCTCTTGTTTTGGGTCATTTTCTAGCACCGCCTTGTCCCTGGTTTGTCCCTTGTGGTCACTGTTGATTTTTGCCCTGATGAGTGGAGGTATTACTATGACTGCATCCGAATTCACTGTGAGGTGAGCATTCATTGCAAAACACACTTAGAGTTGTAATGGAATAAAACAAATATTAGAGCATAATGAGAAAGGTATAGTAAATCCTCTAGAGACACAGATTTATTCCTAGTGAGTCTTGATTAGAGTATTTAACTTCAAGCATTAAAAATTTTTCTCTGCAAACATCCCAGAGCAGTAGGCAAGATTGTATGAGTTACTCTGCTATTCTTTGCCAGTAGATCAGTCTTTGTGCCACATTGAGGTAATGACTTAGCTAAGCAGCTCAGAGGAGCTCTAGAAAGCTGCATAAAATATGGAAAGACAGAAAGATACTGAAAGCAGGTGGAATATTAATGTTCTGAGGCACAACACAATGATAATTTTGAAGATGTTTTATGCCCACTTACTGGCCAACTACTAGAGAAACTTTTTATTTCCATAACAGGCTGAGAAAGTTGGGGCTGTTCAGCCTGGGGAAGAGAAGGTTACATGAAGACCTCATAGCAGCCTTCCAATATCTGAAAGGGACTACAAGGAAGCTGGAGAGGGACTTCTTCATCAGGAACTGTAGTGATAGAACAAGGAACAATGGGTACAAACTGAAAGACAGGAAATTTAGGTTAGATATTGGGAAGAAATTCTTTATTATGAGGGTGATGAGTTGCCCAGGAGGGCTGTGGATGCCCCAAGCCTGGCAGTGTTCAAGGCCGGGTTGGATAAGCCTTGGTCAGCCCAATCTAGTGTGAGGTGTCCCTGCCAATGGCAGGGGTGTTGGGACTGGATGATCCTTAAGGTTCCTTCCAATCCATAACATTATATGATTCTATGATTTACTAATTGTAAGATATAAATATTTGCACTTGTTTGTTTTTTGTTTGTTTGTTTGCAGGGAGATGATACCTTACTTATTCCCATGCATGCTTACCCTACAGTGAATGTTGTAGAATTTCCATCATTTATAAATCTCTCTGATGTATCAATTGGTGAGAGGTGAGTTAAGGACAGACATTTGTCTACATTTTGCAAGACATGCCCAAACCCATTTTCCTCTATTCATACAACATAATGTTGAAAGTCTTAAGAAACTCAGCTACCACCTGGACTGCAAAATAATTCTGTATATGAACAGTTTCAGGTGCACATTCACCATAACATAAATGCTGTGCAAGCTAAAGATACATGAAGATGGGGCTGGTTATTTTTGCTTCTATAAGCAAATACTGTATTTAAAAGTATTTAATGAGCTAGACTTCATTTTACTTTGTCTATTGCATGGATACAGCACTGACTGTTCTCATGAACTAATCTGTAAGAGTTGTTAATAGGAACTGAGAAGGGAAAAAGGAAAAGGCAGATTATGTTTATTAGGGCCTAGTTGTGCAGTATATTTGCTATATTATTATAATTATGGTGATTTCTGAAAATTAGGCCCCAGCACCATTATTTCTACAGTGGTTAAAGTTCAGTTTTGAACACTTTCTTTTCTCATTGTCTTTCACACAGAGGGCCATGGGAAAAGGCTGATTTCTGGTTCTGTACTCATTGTTGCTCCAGTTGCATTGTTTGTACTTGCTAGGTATTACAGTGTGTAAGAATTTGAGAATGGGCATAAATAACCTCCAAAAAGTAATTTTTTAAAATTTGTCTATAATCAAATTATGTATGGGTCGGAGAAAGTAATGTCCGACATTCAAATCAAGATTTAACTCTTATTTCCTGGGGGGATGAAAGATCTAAAATATTTTGCTATTTTGGCACAATGAGAAATTATGAATTTTACATTAATAAGTAACACACCCCTCTGAATGCAGGTAAATTAGTGCATGGTGTGTATAATACAATTTCCCAGCTTGTAATTGATGAACAACTGTACTTTGATTAACATGATTTTTCCTTTCTCTCTTTTCAGTAAGGAGTATGTTATCCCACTGCAGTGCAGCTGTCCCATAGATTTTGAATTCCACATTGATATTATTCAGCCTCACAGAGCCTTCACTGTCCAGCCAACATTTGGTAGACTGACTTCTTTAAAATTCTAAATGTTAAATCTGTATTTATTAAGTGTAGTTACTTTGACAGTGTATTCAGTGCTGTACAGAAAAAACCTTTTCCTCAGGCAAAGCTTTTGCAGGTAAATGCTGCCAGTCATTTTCAGCCTCATGGCAAATAGCCATCTTGGCTGTAAGTTTCTTTAGGCAATGCCCAGCTTTGACAAAATCCAAAATGTTCCAAATGGTCCATGCAGCTTTTATTTTCCCAGAGGAATATCCCTGAAATAGGGTCATCCCAGTAAAACTTAAGTCAGAAATTTTGGTAGCCTGAAACTAAAGCTGAAGGCCATCTGAAAAGCACTAAAAAGTTTCAGCTCTTGCTCAAAGCCATTGTGCTGAGAGTAATCATAGTATGATAGAATCACTTAGGTTGGGAAAGGCCCTGAATGTTTAGGGATCTGAATGGTGATTCAAGTGTTTGAAAAAATAATGGAATAAGTAGTAAGGAAATAAGGTCAAGCAGAGACAGGTAATGCATCAAATCCAGATGAGTCCCCTAGCTTGGAAAAGCTCAGAGGAATATGTTTATAAATGCTTTGCCCATGAAAGCAGAAAGTGCTAAAGACTTAAGACTAGCAGATGCAAGTGCAGAATTTCTACATATAAACAGGCAGTCATTTTCACAGCAGTATGAAATATTATAGCCCTACTGTCAAAGCTCTCTGCTATTGCAAAATATCTTCTATTATCTGGTAGCAAGACCAGAAAGATTTTCCATGCCTACTGCCATCCATTCAAACAATTAAGTTGTTTTTAAAAAGTAGCCCAGAATGAGTTCCAGTACACTTAGGTGGGCTCATGTTATATGGACTCTTACTGTTTTTTCCTCTAATCACAGGAATCATTCCAGCCAATGGAAAAGTCAAAGTAACTGTGAAGTATTCCCCACTGGAGTATGGAACAGCACAAATGGCAATGCAGTTACAGATTTCAGAGTTTCACTCAAAACCCTATGTGTGTGTATTCACAGGAACATCAATACCACATGTGGCTCTGATGTATGTGTGGCTGACTGGTCTTGGAGTGGTTTTGCCCAGTTCTAAAAGATATTAATGTTATAGGATTTAATACAATTTTACTAAGATCTTTTTAAGCAAAGTCTTAAAAAGCAAACCAAAATCTTTTTGGTTTCTTTGGAGACTTACAATGCACTGAAGTAATTCTACTGTTGATACATGTACCTGCTTTTTTACACTGTTTGATTAGAACATCCTTAATCTACATTAAATAAAAAAAAACAAAATAAATATAATGAGAAGTTACATATCCTTAAAGAAATGTGAACATCCTCAGCTTCTATCATTCCCACTTGTTATTTTTATTGTTGAGGCCTTGCAAGATACAGGGGGCTTTGAGCCTTTTGGACTGTACTTAATTTTTTGGTGAAAAAATTAGACTTATATGTCGTTTAGAGAATGCTTATGAAAGGAATATGTGTCCTTCTGACATCTAGAAAAGAATATATTGATGAACAACAAAGTCATCCAGAGAAAAAAGCTGTGTCTGGAAAACCTGTGTTGTGGAGAAGAGACCGGTTCAGCCAACTACAGTCGAAGCCTGTTCAAAAACTAAAGGTGTGAAAAGATAATAATTACAAGTACTTTTCTGGGCTGGAAATCTTCCATGTTTCTGTTTCTTCCTATTAATTTATATCTCATAGGAAATTGAATACCAGAACCTCAGATTCCCCACAGACTTGTCAAATCCGTATGCTGTAGCTACTGTTTTGATTCAGGAACCAGGCAAATTGAAGTTAAAGGACGTAAAAGAAGGTAAAGTAATTAAGCAGCAGAAACTTGGTTTTAGCATTATTTGTAGCTCTGATGAGGAGCTTGGCTTCAGAACTGCTGATGTGATGTGACTGTTGTTTCTGTGAGAACTCTCTCCTTAGCTTTATGTATTAATGGGTACAGTTATCTCAATGGATGTTTTTCACAATTAAAAATCCAGTCTAGACTGAGGTGTGATATGGCTTTGTGATGTTCCTGCAGCCCTGTCCCAAGGCAAAGAAGGAAAAAAAACAAGGCAGGTGAAGGATGCTATATTTCAACTAAAAGTCAAACAAAATGTTCAGGAAGAGGAAGCAAATCATCTAAAGCGGTAAGTGCTAGTAAACCATGTTAATTACCCATGTTAGCAAGATTGAGATTTGCTTAACCAAGGCCTTTATGAATGATATATGCAATGTCCACTAGTGCAGAATGCTGCCATTTTGTGTCTTAATACATTTGGTTTAAGCCTTAATTACTGATGTTTTATTTATTTTTTTTTCTCTCCTGCTTAAGAGCAGACTCAGTAGCATCCATAGTAGTACCCAATGAGGACTTTGATTGCCTTATTGTTCCATTCAAAAAGAAAGCTGCTGAAAACCTGGTTTGCCTAACCTTGTTCTCAGGCATCTCATCTTGTGCCCTTAAGGCCAAAGGAAGATTTTGTCATGGCTGTCAATAAATTGAGGCTAAAATGAATAATGGAGTAAGAGCAGAATTACACTTGGAAGTGTTCAAAAAACATGTAGATGTAGTGCTGATAGATGTGGATATAGTTTAGTGAAGTGTTAGGCAGTGTTAGGTTTATGCCTGGACTCAAAGATTTTAGAGGATTTTTCCAGCCTTAATGATTTTATTATTCTGTTGTACATCAACTGGTGCAAAGCAGATCACAGTTGGATCTTTAAGCACATGATGGTTTCATTTGAAATCCATGGATCATCTCATATGAATGTCATGGACACCTAGGCACCTCAGGAAGAGGGGACTAAGTCTGCTTGCCTTTGAATAAAGCAAACTGTGCATTAAGTGAAGCATTTTTCTTGTCTCCACTGTAAATGCAGGCAAGTTCACAAGGGAAGTGATCCAATCTCTGCAGAGCTTAAAAAAGAGATTATTGAAAGCCGACAAAGGGAAGAAGAGCAATACAGGGTTAGTCTTTGATGGTTTTTTCTGTTAATTTAAAAATCACACTTATACTTTCATATTATGCAGTGCACTGTGAATGTATCAAGCTCTCTACATGTTCAGTTTTTCTTCATTAATTAATGCAAACCTGGGCTAGTTGTGCTTGTAACTGCAGTCATATCTTTATTGTGCCTGTGCTTCACTGTTTCAGGGGTGTTTTTATTTTGAAGATAGACAGAGAGAAGGTAAGGTATTATCAGAAATGTAACAATATTTGCCAAAGTGAGCACGTTTGCACCCATGTTTCATTAGGACAGAGATTTGATTGAAACTCAGACCTGAAAAGACATTATTTTACTTTGTTTGACTTGCTTAAGGGTTGCAATGATCACACCCTAAAAGGGAATGAAGTCTGTGTTTCGTTAAACCCCTCCAGAATGTTGCCTTGTGAGTTTCCCTAATTGTAATGGAGGAAATAATTCACTGGATGCTTTGTGCTAATGTGATTTTTCTTTAAATTAGCTCCAAAGAGGAGATCCTATCATAGAACAGGAGTTTCAGAGGGGTGAAGTGGAAGTTTCCTCCAGACGTGTTACCCGGCATGTTGACCAGGTTTGTTCATATATTTCTAGAGCCTGCTATATGCATGCTAAATTATCACCTCCCAAGTTAACAAATAGCCATAGATGTTTGACACTGAATACTTTTCCTCCTGATATTGCTGTTTCTGTGTCAGTGCCTTATTTCCCATTTTACTTTTAGGTAGGCAAGCACCATGCCATGTGCACAGCTCATCTTCTAATCTGATCTGAGAGTCAAGTGGAAATCTGCAGGCCTAATCTAAGATTTATATTGCTTGTTTCTGAAAGATCTCTCAGGAGCTTTCTCATGCCTCATTGTAAGGTTAAGCATATCACAAGATTTCCAACTTTTACCTGCAGGTCAGATTGACAGGAACCTCTCTGGTACTTAGATTTTTTGCCCTTCTCTTTGGCATCTTTCACTCTTCTTTGGGTATGTGCCATTATTGGAGAAAGGATACTGGTTTTGCTGGATGCCTGATTTTTGAGTCCTTACAGCTGTTTCAAGTTCATGTCTGTACAAGATAAGTTGTGTTTTTGTTAGAGCCCCTGTCCATTGTCTTTGCTGTCCAGCTGCCCATGGAGTGCACTGCAGTCCTGGTCTGTGTTGGTCATTTGTGTGGATGCAGACCATGCCACACTATCTCTGCATTCTCTGTACTACATCTGCAAATACTTGGTGATTACCTCCCACTAAGCCCTGCTGTGAAGGTTTCTGGTTAAATGCCAATGCTGCAAATATTTTCACTGGACCAATTTCAATATTTAGAAGTAACATACGTATTCAGGTCAAAGTGTGACTTGGGATGGAGAAAAGTTCTACCTATCTAGTTGTAAAAAGGATTGTCCTTTCTCTTTTCTGTTTCCTTTTTTAAAAATACACTGTGCAGCAACCAAGTGTCCATCCCACATTCGACTTGCTCCGTAATGACCCTTGGGACAGCAGAAAGAGGATGTTCAGGAAATTCCAGCAAGCAGCATACAAGGTAAAGTGAACAACAACAGTGCAGTATGAGGGCATGACACCTGTGTGTGAGACAGCACAAAAGAACATGCAACCAGCGTGGGAGGACTGTTCACAGCTAGCTAGGTATTTGGTAATTTGATAAATATGCCCCTACCACCCCAGGAAATAAGGTTCTGGAGTAAGTTTTCTATTCAATTCATCTTTCATATTGCAATTGATACTAAACAAATGCAGATTAATTCAGATTATTTTTTAAGTAAAAAATACTTCTGTACAAAAAAGATTTGAAAATGCACATAGAATACTGCACCCTGTTTTGGGCCCCTCATACAATAAAGAATTTAACAAGCTGGAGTGAGTTCCATGTAGAGCCACCAAGATATTCAGGGCTTAGAGCAATTTCTCTGTAAGGAGACAATCTGGAGAGGGAAAGTAGAGGAAGAGAACAGCACCTTCCAGCTCCTCTGAGGTTACTGATGATGGAGGATCTGTGCAATAGTGCATGACGGGAACATGGGAAACAACAGGTAGAAATTCAAATAAGGGAGGTGAAGACCTGGAAACTAAAGGCTAATCAGTAAAATCACTTATTTAATTTGGTTTAAATATTGTCTTGCATCAGCACTGCTCTTTCCTCAGTAAATCTTAATGGAACAAGCAAGATGGAAATGTTCTGCTCTTCTAGCATCCAGTTTGGATATTCTTCAATCTGCTCATAATACTGAGGTCTTGAAATTAAATGCTCTTTTTTATTGTACAAATAAAGAGGTGACCAAATGGCCCCATCTGGTATTAAAACTGAGGATTCTTCATTTTTACCCTCTAGGGTATGGGCAAAAACACAGTGCAGGTTGCTGTTTACTCTCCTCATTTTCAGAGCCACAAGTATTCATATGGCCCTGGTTAACTGACTGTATATGCCAGTAAACACCTAGCAAAAGACCTAGCAAAAAAAAAAATAAAAATTGATCAACCTGTAAGACTAAATAAAAAAATGTAACTGTATTTATTGTGTAATGTCATTATAGAGATGAGATCCATTCTACATCTTTGCATCCCACTTTCTCTGAACAGAAAACTATATTAAAAATTCTCAAATAGAGATGTCTAAGTGAGCTCTGGAGAATAAATACAGGTGTAACATATACAGTATTTCTATGGCTGCAAATCTTAGGGTGTTTGACTTCAATTTAAAAATCATTCTCTCAGATTCTGGTTCAGATTCGTCTAAAACGTTTGTTGCTTCTGTTACGTGGACTGCCCAGGGAGACCAGAGGTCTGGAGGAAGGCTCTGGGTCTGGTAAGGATTAAAAGAATAAGTTGATATTTTGGCCATGGGCTATGATAATTCAGGTTGTGCTGCAGTGTGTCAGGTGCATTACATATAAACATAAAGACAGAGTCCTTATAAAGGAGTCTTCCAGAAAGAAGTAAAGTGTGGCAAGGTAGAGGCATAGAGTGGATTGGATGGCCTTTAAAGGCCATCCAGTCCAACCTCCCTGCAAGAAGCAGGGACATCTTCAATGAGAGCAGGTTACTCAGAGCCCTGTCCAGCCCAACCTTAAATGTTTTCAGGGATGGGACATCCACCACCTCTTTGGGCAACTTGTTCCAGTGTTTTACCATCCTTGTTGCAAAAAATTTCTTCCCTATATCTAATCTGAAACTGCCTTATTTTAGTTCAAAACCGTTACGTCTTGTCCAATGGCAACAGACCCTGCTAAAATGTGGAAGTGGATGTAGTCAAGATACATCTATTTTCCATACACATTATTTACCATGTTTAAGAAATGTGATTAACTATTCTTAGGAACCTTGCAGTTTATCTACTTAATAACAGGGCAGAAGCTGTGGATACTCCATCATTGGAACTGTTCAAGGCCAGGCTGGGTGGGGCTTTGGGCAACCTGATGTGGTGATAGATGTCCCTGCCCCTGGCAGAAGGGTTGGACAAGGTGGCCTTTAAAGGTCCCTTCTAACCCAAACCATTCTGTGGTTCTGTGTGTAGGCCTGAGGAGCAATGAAAGGACAGATGGGACTGTGTGAGAGACAGGGAGATGAACAGATCAGGTGGAGCCCAAGAGGTGAGAGTCACAGGATGAGAGGAGCTTACTGCAGGTGGGATGGAAGGGGGAAGGACACCTGAATGTGATGAAGGCAAGAGGTCTGAACTCAGTGAAATGAGACAGTAGGAACCATGACACACATTGCCAGGTAGCCAGTACTGGGTTGAGTTTTTGTCCTCATTGTTCTCTCACAGAAGTGTTTTTAATCAGTTGGAGTTTTTTACATGGGAATGAAAGTGCTGGTCTGGAAAGGTGACTTGTTATTTAACATCATAGAAGAAAACAGGTTTTGGATGGGAGTCACTGTTGGGTAAATGGGAGACAGAGAAGATTTTGAGTCTCCTATTTCCCACTCCCCTGTAGACACACACAATTTGACAGCTCCTGAGACACACTGTTCCATATTAGGCCTTTTCCTGCTTCTGCAATAGGGACTTTTAATTCCCAGGATGCAGGAGATGCAGAAATGCTGCAAATAGAAGGTGTAATGACATTTAGTGTAAGAGAGGCCTCTGACTTGTCTCAGCCTTGCTGTGAGCCATGCTGGAAGGAGTGGGCTGTGATGTCTTTTTAGGAAAGGGGAAATTAAATCTGTCTGCTATTCAAGGTATTGTGCTCATATTTTATAGATGTGACATTTAAAGTCTTTAGGAAGTATTACTTTACTTTTTATATTTAAATTTCTAGACATCCTGGTTTAGGAAAATGTTAAATACATTTTGTGGCTTGATTCTATTTCTGAAACAGTGTATTAAGATACATTACAAAATTTTAATATTTGGTTTCCACTCATGACAGAAAGCAGGAGTTTCAGCAAAGCAGAGAAGAGTGAAGAACATAAGGACTTTTCTTCCAGAATATCTGAAGATGATATATTGCCTTTTGAATTCCCCTTTTACAGGTCCCATGAACTACACAATTATTTGGTAGGTGCAGTGACTCAGATATTAGTCAGCACTCTAGAATTTTTAGAATAGAATTTTGTTGAAGACATTGACCCCAGGGCTGATAGTACTTTTATTAAAATTTCACAGTGTAACTGGTGTTCTGGGGTTCTGGCAAATTAATTCAGGACCTCAGATTTACTAAGGGTTCTGCTGAAAACAGTAAAAATTTTTTTTCATTCTCTTAATTGTATCCTAGAATTGTGAGCAATACATTAATGCTCAGAGTTAGTTAACATCCATTTTTCAGAAGCAAAGAAAAATATAACTGAAATGCTGGAGTCCAAGAAAGAACAACAGAAATATCAAACTGTAACAAGTAAATATTTGCATAATTATTTCCATATGTTTTCAATTAGCTGTGTTCATGGATTGCTGCCAATACAAAACAAAATGCCCACCATATTACTTGTTTTAAATATTGTTCTGTTTCAGGCACCTGATGCTCTTGGCCCCGTTCCTATTGAATCTGTAGACGTGAAAGTTGAAAACATTCTTCCATTTTATGACTTGAAGGTGAGTCAGTACAGCTCCCTCATGTTTCTCTTTCCTGTGCAGTTAAATGGCCTCTGCACAGCCCAGTAAAAATGTTGCCTTAATAAGGCTGTATGATTTTTAGCATGCTTTTATTAAAACCAAATCTCACCAGTTTCCATGAGTAACTAATTTACAGCCAGCAATATCCCCCTCTCTCCAGACAGAGATGAATCACCTTAGCTGAAATTATTGTATCTCAAAGATCAAATTCCTGGTGAAGTATGGCTTCTCAAAGTTTTGGTTGTGTACCATGTCCTGGGAGAGTGCTCCAAGTGTCTTTTACCATGGAGATGTGATGCGTCCATGATAAAGCCAAATGTTCCACTCCATTTATGAGTTAACTGAGAGTGATTATTGTCACTTTCTTCAGCACATCTTTTTTCTTTGCACTTAGGTTCCTCAGCATTGCAAGATTATGAAGTATCAGCCATTTTCTACACACTATGCAGCCACAAGTTACAAACCTGTAAAACTTTCCCGACCACTGAGGCAGGGAGCCCAGGTAACCAAGTCACTCCCAACCCCACATTTCCACATTTGATTATTTTTGCACCAACATTTTTTACTGAAATATTTACTACACACTAAAAATCTTTGATGTCTGTGTTTTTCAAGGATGAATTGAATGAAGTAACCCCTTCTCCTGAGGGGCAGCTCTCCCAGAGGAGAGATTTTGACAAAGAAGCAGCAGAAGGAGATATCAGCCTGTTAAGCCTGGTTCCTCCCCAAACTTTAGTCCACCCAAGGGAGAGCAACCCTCTTCGCATTTTTGTGAGTAGGAGTTGGCTTCCATAAAGAACCTAAGAGAAGAGAAGAAGTGTGCTTATTTCATCAGAAGCCTGATGTGGAATTTGTGGGCAGTTTTCTTACTCAGAGTGGTTTTAAAGCTATCCAGAGTGAGAGTAATCCTTCATGGTGCAAGCTCTGATATAGGGGAATCACAGAGCTCTGATAGATAGGAGTCACAGAGTTCATCCCACTGAGAGGGACACCATTTCAGTTTAGAGTGGGTTTTGATCAGTTCAGGGGAGGGATGATAAGACAAAATTGCAGTGAAAGAAGAGAACTGGAAACTCCTCTAGTCTGACACTCCACAAATGATCAATGATCACAGGATTTCTGGGAACCCCTCCCTTCTTCTCCATTTGTTTCCCCATTTGGATGTTAGAAGAAAGGCCATGATCTTGGCATCTCAGTCCATCTGTAACCTCACATTTTTGCCCAGGTAGGTAGGATAGGTGCAGTCTTTTCCTGCTGTTCAGCTAGGTGACTACAGATCTGCCTAATCTTTGGGTAAACAGAAAAGTGAAGTCAAACTCGGCTCACATTGCATCCTGCTTACAGTTTCTAAGAGTTCTCACAGCATCCCAAACCACATTCCCAAGCTGTTAGGCACAGAGATTCAAAAAATCACTGCCTCTTGAATGGGAGGGTTTTCTGTTACAGTTGTCATGTAGATTGTGCTACAGCTGCAGGAGGTATTTCCCCCAGTGCAGCACAGCCTGGAGCTCTGGAGGTGCCTCTGAGCAGGCAGAGAGAGCTGTAGGGCTCAGTGCAGGGCTGTGCATGGGCACAGGCAGATCTCCCACCCAGCATGGCACTGTGCCTGCTGGGGGTGGCTCTGGCTCCCAGCCCTGCCCACTGTGCTGGCCTGGTGACCTTGGCATAACATCTCTGATGCAGATTTGTCCCCCTCACACACAGCCAGGACTCCAGTGGACGTGCTGATGAGTTTCTCTGTGCATCTCTTTCATCCCTCTATCATAGCAGTGTGAGAGCCAGGCACAGCTTGATCCCACACTACCCAGCACTGGACTTTGTCCAGAGACAGATGCTAATGCAGGGAAATGGATGGCAAAATGTGAAGCCATGTGTGCTGTGGCTTCCACCATAGCAAGTCCATTTTCCCTTCTTGGATTCTGAGCTATTCAGAGAATCAGCAATGGATTTCAGGATAATTAGGCAATAGTTTTTTCTTCCAGACTGGGAGACAACAGCTAAATTGCTGTATTTTAGACAGTTGGGAGCATGAATAAATCAGACAACACTGTAGGATGAGGGGAAGATACAGAAAGTGAAGGATCATACCAAACAGAGCAGTCAGACAAAGCTGTGAACCTGGGGAGACCACATTAGTTATAAGAACTGAAAGTTCATTAATTAGATTTGTTATGGTACTCAGAGCAATTTATTAAAATAATCTCTTCATTGTTTTTAGAACCCCATTCCAGGATTAGTTCCATTTTTACTTCCTTTGGCCTATTGTGAATCAGATATTGAATATCATCTTTGTCCTCATCCAAAATATGCTGTTACCAAGGAATGCCCCAGAGGATCCAGTATTCCAGTCACACAGAAGAAATTTCTGGATCACACGGTATGTTCTTTTGGGTTTATTGTATGAGTACCTGTCTTGGGTATGTTCTTCCTGAGAACTTGCTCTAAAGAATAAAAATGAAAGGTGGAGTCATTCTAGATAGAAAATATTTTCAAATATAAATTATGTATGCACCTAAATAGTCAGTACATGGGCCAGAATAACTAATTCTGCTTAGGCTTTACCCATGTCTCTTACTTATGCCTTTGTGTTTCTTTGCTCTTTCCATGTGTTCACTGTTGTATTTTCATGTCCTTACAGTGATGGAAGGATCTTTGAAATATATTCAGCTCCCCAGATTCAATTCTCAGCCAAGATGCTCTGTCCTGCAAGCCTCTCTGCATTATGTATTAGAGGTCTGATTGTGTATCACTTGTCATTTCAGGAAGTGATTTGTGGAGTAATGGAATGGCGAAAATTCTCACCAGTGGAGTATTCCACTTTTTCTAACATTCCCATATTGTCAAATACAGTACTTAGGTAAGAAAGAATTTGAACACACAAATCCTCTGTTGAAAGAGGATTTGAAAGAATTTGAAAGAATTTGAAAACACAAATCTGTTTGAAAGAATTTGAAAACACAAATCCTAGTTTCTGCTGCCCAAAGCTATATTGATCAGTCACTAGTCCCACAAGTGAAAGTGGGCCTACAAGTGGAATTAATTGCTGCTCAGAAATCCAAAACCAACAGGAAATAAACTCCTACTGAACTCCTAGAAGGGTGGATTAAGAGCAATATCATTAAAAGAAATGCCTATCCCAGGAAGGAGAATTCCAGTCTGGGCTTTCTATAACATCTCTCCTGAAAGCTTGTTAACTCAGTCCTAGAAGACCTCAGGAGGCACAAACTCTGTCTGTCTGACTGTAAAACCTTTAACTTATGGACACTTGCACCCAGTGCTAGCCAACATCTCTCAGGCTCACATTCTCTCATATCACAGCATTTTCTGGTGCAGCCAGATTTTCCACAAATATTTAAAAGTACATCATCTTCATTGTAACTGCAACTGCTGTGAAGCTTCAAAGTATGAAAATACCATTAGTATTAATACATTAAACTAATACAATTTCCATCACAGGGATCCTTACAGTTCAGATTTGCTTCCAGCAGATCTACCACCAGTGCTGAATGACTTACCTGAGAGAGACAAGGAGAACATAATTGACCAGTAAGTTTCTCCTCTATTCTGTACATGCTGTTATTGACTGTGTCTAAACCACTTGTATGGATGTGTCAAAACCTGTCCCAGGAGATCCTCAAAGGCAAAGGCACAAAGTCTCTTTTGCAGAAAACATACTTTTGTTCTTGTTGGCTAAAAAAACACTTTCAAAAGGACAAAGGCAAATTGTTCATCCTCTTATTCATTTTAGTGAGACAGATGGAGCTGCGTTCAACATGATTCTTACTCCAGAGATGGTGAAAGCTGAATTTCCACAGGTTGAGGGGGCACTCTCAGAAGAATATGAAGGACAATCAATAAAAATAGAAAGGTAGGTATATTTTGAAATAACAAGAGAGAAAGGCAATCTAAAGTCAAGCATCAGAAGTTTTCTCAGAATTGCATAGAGAGTCATACTGAGATGCTCTAGGGGCTCCATCACAAGTGCAATGCAGACCTAGTACTTTGAGCAAATTTGCACTGCAGATTCAGTCTCTGGATTTTGCTTCAGAAAGCATTGGCCTGGATCTCTGACTATGGTTATATCAGCATGATCTAACACTTGAGGCAGTTTGCTTGCTTTCTCAGAGATGTTCAACATTCTTGGACCTTGGACCGGTGACTTTTGCTTTTCATTGACCCTTTTGGTTAGATATTTATGCATGCTGGCAGAGAAAAGGGCCCTTAGAATTTCCCCTTGGCATGGTGCTTTTTTCTCTGGCTTTTCTTAGGAGTGTTTCATGTTTGCTCTGCTCAAACTTCACACTCCCCCAGCTCACACCACAGCAGGCAGTGTGGGTGACAAGTGATGCAGAGCAACACAGGTAAAAGTGCTGAGTTCTAACCTTGGAGCAAGTGAATTCATTTCTGTCCAACAGTTATCCCCTCTTTAAAGTTGCCATGATGTGGCATAGATACCAGGATGTTCAAGATAACCTCAGACTTTCAGAGCTATCAAGAGATTTGAATGTCTGCTTTACTTTTGCATGGGAAGAATTTGCTGTAAAAATATAGATGTGTTGCACTCAGTGCTGGTTTTTACATTTTATGACACTAGTTGTCAGAACATGGGGATTTGGGATAGCTTGAGTAACTAAAGTGCGATCTTTTTCTCCCACAGTGATATAGGGCTGGATAGTGCTTTCCCTGGGTAAGTCATTTTATAACCTTCTTTCTTTCTTAAATCTTAGATGTTTTCAGGAAAAAAAAATTAAAATAATTTTCAATATTAGACAGCTCTGGGTGTTGATATTTACTTGTTGAAATCTTCCCTATTATTTTGGGTTTGTAAAGAGGGAAGCAAAAATTTCTTAGCAAACAATGAAGTCCCAATCTTTTATGTTGTCCCTGAAAGGTTCTTTGTTGTTATTGAGGGGTTGGTGTTTCACTGGGTGACAGAGAACATATTGCTTCTCTACAGCAGTTTTGTCCTTAAGGAAAACCAGGTTTTCATATGGCTGCCCTTGTTCTGGCAATCACAGCATGTGTCCCTACATGGATAAAATGTAATAATCAGTTTCTGTTACCTGTCAGATAGTAAACTTTTCTGACTAGCCAAACCAAGAGTTAAGTGTTTTCCACAGTTTCAGTACCTTTTCAGTTTTGTATCAGTGGTAGAATACCCTGTGTTCATTATGAGAAAAGAAATCACTAGTGCCTCTTTCATTGGATTTTGAAGATATTCCTAAGTATTTTCCCTGATTATTATAAATACAAATGATGCTTTAAATTTCTTGCAGAGACCAACAAAATGGTCCAGATGGACATTTTCAACTCCAGAACAGTGAGATGGGAGAGAAAATTCAAAAACATCTGGAGACATTGAAGCTGAAAGCACTTAATAAAACCCTTATTCTGGGATAAAAATAATTTTACAAAGTTCATGGCCTGACCCTGCTTATCCTGTTAATGTATGAGGCCTCTCCTGTCCCAGCTACATTTACTTTTGTTCAGTGAGGTCAGCAACTTCATATGCAAAGAGAAGAGAACCACCAGTAATGCCACCTCTGTCAAGGACTCTCACTGTGCTCACTACCCCAAACACAAGAATTACTCCAGTGAGAAACCTCATCCTTGGACCTGCTTATTTTGTTGTGGTGTGAAGGACCAGAAAACCTTAGTACTACCATGTAAATAGTTTGGTAATTAGTTTACCTCCCACAGTTTTCAAATAAAATGTGAAAAGACCTCATGACCAAAATCTTCTGATTTTGTTTTTTTAGTTCTGACCTGTCCTTGAATTTTTGCAGGTAAGTTGCTAAATCTCAGACTTGACAGTAAGCCATATATTTGATATTTTTAAGGAAAAGGAAGCCTTGAACACCATTACTGTCTGCAAAGACAATGTCCAACCAAGTCTCATTACTGTTCAGGGATTTAATTCAGTGCACAGGTCTTGGCAAAAGCTTGCATGGATTGAGTGAATGAACGGCAGAGCCTCATGAGAAACCCGTAATGCTCTGGGTGTATTTCCTAGGAAAGGAGATTTCTCAGCATATCATCTTGCAGATGAGATGTCTCCTACTTTCTTGTCAGCAAGCTGGACTTGAGACAAAATTGTTTTTATCCATAGTGAATTGATTGCTCATTTTACAGAGTGGTCCGGGCTGTTTGTGCTGAAAAGCACAAATCTTCTGTGCTAAAAGGCATGGAAATTGCAGCAATACCCACTGCATTCCTAGGAGCCATGCTTCTTTCCAGGCATACTTAAAGCACCTAGGAAAAGAAGTTTATTTCAGAGAGTGATCAGTGTGGACAAGCTGTAAAAAGCCCAGGCAGGTAGAAAATGGGAAAGCCGGGTGAAAAAGCTGTAGATTAGCCTGTATTATACTAGCTACAAACTACCTCTGCTCACTGCAAAGAAATAAAAAGCTGTTAAGTTTCTGCTAACTGTCTAATTGACAAGGGATTGTTCAGAATGCAGGTCTGGATATCTGCAGATTTCTCTTAACTACAAACAACTGCCTGAACTTGTACACATTGCTTTTTTTCTTCTAGGAGTTCTGAGGGAAGCAGTTGATCTTTTAAGAGATGAGCTAAAAGCTGAGTATGTCTTTTAACATGACCATGACAAAAGCATTATCAGAGTTTACAGTGAAAGCATTCACAGTTCATAATTCACTGCTTAGGTAAATCAAACAGATAATTCTTTGGAACTGTTATCTATCAGCTAAATATCTAGTCTAGTAAAAAGTGTCCCGGAACAACAGTGATTAAACAAAGTTCATCTCTGTTCTTACAGCAGTATCACACTGCCTCGCTTCTCCAGAACAGTTTCCTGGTCATCCCAATGGAAATTAATCATGCTTCTCCATTGTGCAGCGAAAGACACCGACCTTTCAAAGAAATCAACTCCCTTTCTGAGAAGTCATCCTCCTTTCTATGTTTTAAGGTTTTTAGGGGCCAGATTTCAGTGTTCAGAGAAGGTAAGAAAATCCATTATCTTGCACTAAAATCTTCCTAAAATTCAAAGGGACTGATGGCAATGTGCAGATGTCTGTGCTTTGTATCCCTCCAGGATATGGAGGTGAGAAACCATCAGAGCCAGTCCAGCTATGTCTAAGAACATGAAATTTGGCTAAATTATCTGAAGTCTTAAGTTTTCATGAGACCACTTAAATCAACCCCTGGTTGACTACTGAACACTTCCAGAAATGGGACATAAACCTTAAGAATTATAACCTGCAGTTGGTGGCTTTTCACAGTTCTGTGTTCAGTGTTTGATGTAAAGGACTGAGATGTTACAGAAAATTAATTGGAAGAAAAAGGAGTGATATAATGGAAAATGTGCCTTATTTGGGGAATCTAAGGGCTGCATTTTTACTGATGCAAGTGGGAAAGTCAAAATGTGTAAATTGATGTGCAGAATGTGCAGACGAGTTTACTTCCATTCACTACAAGTAAAATTGCTACTGCTTCCCTTGTTTGGAAAGGATTAATTGGCTAAATGACAATGCAGCCGTTTTACTAATTAAGATATATCCATTTTGCCTGAAAAAGCCTGTCCTATTAGCAAGGTTAATAAACACTGACTCACTCTTCAGCTTTTCTCCCTCTTATTACATAAATTAGCACTAACCTCTAAATCAAATAAAAGGTACATTTAAAAAATTAAGAAAATGTTACTGTGGAAATGATCCATGAGCTTAAGTGCTCAGTAACAGGATTATTAATCTCACTTACTGTTCCATGATGAGAAAACCCATCAAGGTCTTTAAAATGTAAATTAATTACGTTTTATTAGAAGGCTGTGAGGAAAACAGCAATGTATCTGATGTAAAGAAATGAGTGAAATTGTATTCTCAGCTCATAAGAATATTTCATAAACTAAAGAAACCTCATTACCTTTGAATTTGTAATGCAAGGTTCAGTTATTCCAAGGTCCAGTTGAAGGTTTTTTTATCATCTGGTCTTTTTTCTGCACAGGTTTTCTTCTGTCTATGCTCACACTGCATCCTTTGCCTTATTGAAACACCTCAAATGCTTCTCTCCAGCTGTTTAACCATGGAGAATTTTAGCTCTTGCTGACCCCTCTCCTGCTCTTTCTGTTTAGTTGAAAACAGCAGGCAGGTTCATAATTTATTGGGGAATATGCAAATGGTGTCATTTCCTTAGGAGGCTGGATGAAGGTAGAGAATAAGGACTTCTCTGTGTGCAAGTGTGGATAAATTTCTTTGCAAATGTTATTGTAAAGTGCTGCTCTGTAATCTGTGAGTGCATAAATTCTTATGGTTCCTTTAGAGACATCAAACAGCCCACATGAGGGATTCTCTGATCTTTGAAAATCACAGCTCTCACTGATGTACCTAGGTTTTGTACAGAAGTCACTTTAAGGCAGAATTGGTTTAAAAGTTGGAGTTTTTCCTCTCTGTTTTCTTCTCCTGTTGTCAGTCTGTGTGCACTGGGAACCAGCACTGGTTGCTTGGAATAAGTCCTTTTCTTCAAGCAAATGCAGCTTGATAAGACAGCTTTCTCCAAATATTTTTGTTGTTTTGGGATTTTTTTCCTGAAGTATAAAAAGCCTTCAGAGAGGAATGTAAGCTGTGACCAGTGCCTGCAACTGTTTGGTCTGGTATGGAATCAGCTGTTCCAGCCTGAGCACCTCCTTGGCATCCTGCAGCTCTGCCTGCTGCCAAAGTGTGGTCAGTGGTAGCAGCTTTGGTGTGGGGCCTGGAGAGCCATCAGGAGTACAGAGCCACACAATCCTTCTCTGGGCCTTGTGGTTTGGGATATTGTCAGTAGCAGGGTCTCTTGGGTTGCTGAGAAGGACCTCCTGTCATTCCCAGGAATGCAGTTCCATTCATATCACTCCCACAGACTGAAGGACTTGGTCAGAATTGTCTTCTGAGTCTTCATTTTTACGGACCTCTCAAATAATGTATTATTTCTCCAAAGCTGGAATTGGTCAGAAGTCTCCCATAAATATTGCTGTACTGAGCCATTCATTGGCTGTGTTCCTCTGTGTCCTCCAAGAAAGCTGAATTTGGCCAAAAAAGAAGCCAGGCACATCTGACAGGGCTATCTTTACCACTTAACACCTGCAGAAGGTAATTGGTCGTGAGGGACTTACCAGATGATATCTGTGTGACCACAGCAGGGACTTGAAAATTAAATAAAGCAGCTCCTGAAAAACTCCAGGTGATTTCAGAGCACCTGCAGGAAGTATTTTTCCAAAGCACTGGTACATCAGAAAACATCCTCTGGTGAGTTTCTCACTTGTGCCAGGCATGGTTTAATTCCAGCATGTTCATGTTTTACAATCCAAAGGTTACAATGTGTTTAAGTGAGTGAGAACTCTCCAAGGTGAAGAACAAAAACTTGTCCTTCTGCCTTTAAAGGATTAAAATTTCCAGTTCAGAATCCAAACCTATTTTTAGCTGAGCACATTTTTAAATGGTTACAGTTTTTCCTTATGTTTCTAAATACTTCAGTCAGTTTCTCTGAGTTTTTAATTGCACAAGAGACCAAGTTAACAGTGCATTATTTTTCATCAGTTCATCTTATTTGGCTTCAGAATTCTGAACCAAATTATCACCAGTACCAGCTAATTACTGGTTTATAATAATTTCACAGTGTGGAGTCTCCAGTAATCCAATATGCATTGCCTAGAAAAAAACAAAGCACTGTGTCACCTCAGGGAATTTGGCTGTATGTGTTACTGGCTGAATTTCAGAGCACCAGATGAAGAAACCAAGGCTTATTTCCCTTGAGTTTGGATTTGCATGATTACTTCTCTGTATGTTATCCTGAAAATGGACATCAAGTATCAAGAGAGAATTGCTTTCAAACAATTCTCTTTTTGCTTCCCTGCCTCTGAAGTACCTTTCCCTGCAGGCAGCATCACATTTCAACCTCCCTCCTACTTCTGGTGACACAGCAGGAACAGATGTCCCTGTGCAGGTACTGTCAGCAGTCACAGAGAGTTGTTTTCCATACTGGTAAAGGAAAGTCAGGATGCTGCAAAGTGTTGCTGAACTCTGTCCACCACCAGAGCTACTGACTGAAAATCTTCTGATTCCTTGTGTAGGATACAGACCTGAGAATCTCAGATTTCTGAAGTTTGGTTCTTCCTGCTAATAACCCCTCTGTGTCAATGTGAGGAGTATTGCCATCCTCTGCTGGTACACAGCATAATTTGCAGTAGCTGCTTAGTAGCACTGCAGAGCAGCTGAAAGGGAACAAAGCTGCTGTGTCTGCTATGACAGCAAAATCCACCTTGGTCACTCATTTATCCCTTCTGCAAGCACCTGTCCAGTTGCCTGGATAAACCCTTCCTCTGTGGACCCTTCTTCCTGGAAAATGCTGAAAATCCTACTGATGAGTTGTCTTTCAAATCTGCCTCATAGTGCTGAGGTCCTCACCCAGCAAGGTTTTCCTGTCTGCAGCCTTTCCTTTTAATCTGTGCCACTGGAAATAGTGATTTATGGAACCAGTGCTGTTCCCAGTGCATCATCCATCATTTTACTGTCACTCAAAGTAGTATAGTCACATTCTTGCCTTGCTAAAAGCAGGTGATACAGAGGCTGTGAGCTTCTATTCATGGCACTGATATTCACACACTTGCTGAGAGGAGTGGTCCAAGCTACCTGAACAGTTCCAGTCCTGGTAGTAACAAAGGCTTCAGTGCTGACTGGTCATGAGCATCCATG